AATGAATGACGTGTGAAATAAAGAGTGTGCATGAAGATATTTTATTGGGATGGTGGGGAATATTGGTGAAGTTAAGTTTGGGAGAATAGCCAAGAAGTAGTAGTGTGCAGCATTATTCACAATAGCCAAAAGGTAGAAGCAACCCAGATGTCCCTTGGCAGATGACTAGATATGCAAGATGTGTTCTATGCATGCTGTGGAATATTATTCAGCCTTAAAAAAAGAAATTCTTCCACATGCTACAGTATGGATGAATCTACTTATGCTAAATAAAGTAAGCCAAACACCAAAGGATAGATATTGTTTGATTACTCTTTTATGAGGTCCCTAGTGTAGTCAAATCATAGAGAGAAAGTTGCCAGGGCTTGGGGCCAGGGGCGGATAGGAGTTACTGTTTAATCAGAGTTTCAGTTGGAAGGGATGAAAAGATTCTAGAGATGAATGGTGATAATAGTTACAACATAATGCTAAAATGTTTATACATTTAAAAAGGGTCAAAATGGTAAATTTTATGTATGTTTTACTACAATATTTTTTAAGAACAGTGATTAAAAGGTAAAGGTTTGACTGAGACCATTCATTGGTCTTTCATTAAGCAAATGTATGAGCAATTACTAAGTGTAAGGCACTATTTTAGGCCCAGGATATAATGATTTATAAATCAGATAAGGTCTTTGCTTTCATAGAGTTTATGATCTAATAAGAGAGACAGACTATATGGAAAAAGACAAATGAATAAGATTAACATTGTGGCAAGTCCTATGAAGGAAATTAATCAGGTGAGATTAGGAACTGATATGGGGCCGTCACAACTTGAGTGGTGAGTGAACTCTTTGAGGAATTAAAATTTGAGCTAAGAATGAGCCCATCATGTGAAGAACAGAAGAGAGCTTTAGGCAGAGAGACCCACTGGTGGTATAAAGGCCCTTAGGTAGAAGAGTACTTAGAGAACAAACAAGCATTATGGAGAAAGAAGTGAGTGGTAGAAGAGGATGGTAGAGGTGATGGCAGGTAGATTACATTGATTGAACTCTTACTGTGTGCCAGGCACAGTTTAAAGTATCTTTCATGTACCAACTCATTCAGTGCCCAGAACCCTGTGAGATGGATTCTGTTATTCATTTGCACCCTCAGGAAACTGAGTTACTTTGCCGGTATGTGGCAGAGCCAGGGTTTGGCAGAGCTGGTATCTCGACCACTGTTCTATATCACTCTGAGGAGCTCGGGCAAGGGGTCTGAACTGGAGCTGCATGTGTGGAGGTGGTCAGAATTAGATGACATTTGAAGCCATGGAACTGGAGATTTGAGAAGGCAGCTCTGGAAACAGGAGAATCCAAGTCATAGGACCAAGAATCAGGAAAGGGAGAGAACCTAACATAATGGCTCAATCATTTGTTCATATGGCCATTATCTTAGGGAAAATGTCTCTGCTGGTTCAGGGCCAGAGCAGACTTCCAGGAATCCAAGTCAGTTGAGAAATAACTACTGTTGCTGCAGTTTGTTTTTTAAGACCCTATCAAGTGATGATCTCTCTAGTTACTCATCTGCTGGTGTTTTATTCTGCTCAGGCTGCTATAACACAATACCGTAGCTGGGTGGCTTCAACAACAGACATTTGTCATAGCTTTGGAGGCTGGAAAGTCTGAGATCAGGGTGACACATGGTCAGGTTCTTGATGAAGACCCTGTACTGGTTCACAGTCATCTTTTTTTTTTTAAGATTTTACTTATTTATTTTTAGAGAGAGGGGAAGCGGGGGAGAAAGAGATGGAGAGAAACATCAGTGTGTGGTTGCCTCTCACATGGCCCCCACTGGGGACCTGGCCTGCAACCCAGGCATGTGCCCTGACTGGGAATCGAACTGGTGACCCTTTGGTTTGCAAGCTGGCATTCAGTCCACTGAGCCACAACAGCCAAGGGAGAGAAAGAGAAAGAGAAACACAAAGAAAGGAGAAAGAGATCTCCTGTCTCCCATCATTAGGGCCCCACCCTCATGACATAATGTAACCCTAATTAACCCCAAAGACTCTACCTCCTATTAGCATCACATTGGGGGTTAGGGTTCCAACATTAATTTCAGGGGGACACAAACATTCAGGCCATGGCAGCTGAGTTTCAAGAATAAGCAGTTCAATACAAATGGCCAACAGGATACATGAAAAGATACACAGCTTCACTAGCTATAAGGGAAATGCAAATCAAAACCAGAGCCCTGGCTGGTGTTGGTCAGTGGATTGAGTGGCTGCTTGGAAACAGAGGTTGCTGGTTTGATTCCCAGTCAGGGCACATGCCTGGGCTGTGGGCCAGGACCCCAGCTGGGGTCTCGTGAGAGGCAACCAACTGATGCATGCATCTCACAGATATCAATGTTTCTCTCCCTCTCTTCCTCCCTTCCCCTCTCTCTAAAAATAAATAAATAAAATCTTAAAAACACCACAGTGAGTACCACCTCATACCTATTACAATGGCTGTTACGAATAAGACAAGAAATAACAAGTGTTGGAGAGGATGTGGAGAAAAAGAAACCATCAGACACTACCGGTGGGAATGTAAACTGGTACAGCCACTATGGAAAACAGTATGAATTTCCTCAAAAAAATTAAGAATAGACCATATGATTCAACAATCTCTCTTCTGGGCACCTGCCTGAAAAATTTGAAATCATTTCTCTGTTAAGGTGTATGTACCCCTATGCTCATTGCAGCAGTACTCATGGTAGCCAAGACATGGAAACAACCTGTGTCCTTTGATGAATGATTAGGTAAAGATGTAGTCATATATGCGCTGGAAATACTAGTCAGTTGTGAGAAGGGATGAAACACTGCCATTCTCGACAACGTTGATGGATCTTGAGAGTATCAAGCTAAGCTAAATAAGTCAGAAAGATAATGGCAAGAACCATATGATTTCACTCATGTGGAATATAAAACAAAGCAATAAGCAAACAAAACAAACAACTCATAAACACAGGCAACAGTATGGCAGCTACCAGAGGAGGAGAGGGTGTGGGAAGAACGAAGAGGGTAAAGAGGGTCAAATAAATGGTGGCAGAAGAGACTAGACTTTGGGTAGTGAGCACACAATGCAATATACAGATGATGTACTATAGAATTGTACACATGAAACTTATAGAATGTTACTAACCAGTGTCACCCCAATAAATTCAATTTTTTAAAAATTAGTAGTTCAGGCTTCTGTAAATAGTTTGGCAGGAAGGGATGTAAGTGTTCATTCCAGTTGCCTAATTAAAATTCAGAAGTTAAAAAAAAATCAAATAGATATTTATGGGTTACATAGCAAAGTTTTCCATCCCAAAATCATCCTGAAGATAGCTTATAGATAACACATTTTATGCTTACTTCAGAAAGCTGACAGCATAAGCAGAAGTGTGTCTATTTAATTTAGGGAATATATTAAACACATTCCTTTAGGAATACTTTTGATCCTCATCTCCTGTTTCCTTCTTAGACTCTAACCTGCTTAAGCATATAAATTCTCAAATTTGGTAGTTACTCAGCTAACCAAATTAAGAACAGACAAACATCAGGGAAGAATCTCTCCCATTACTTCCCACTCAAGAATTCTAATATGTACCTTATGAAGAGTAAATTAGATTTTTAAAAAATTTTTACTTTCTCTTTTAGAGGATGCACTCCTTTTTTAGGAAGGGTGTGATGTTTAACCTTGTAGTTACTCATCCACGTTCTCCTGCCTTTGTACCTAGTGTTAGCTGTGCTGGAATGCCACTTCTTGTCAGACTTGTTCAAATGTTACTTGAACCAGAAAGGCACATTTCCCTTTGTCACCCTGAATTTCAGATGTGTGATGGCACTTTGATGTGTTAAAGTGAGTAGAGCACACTGCTCTCCTCTACTAGAGCGTGAGTTCCTGAGGACCAGATCTGTATCTATGTTTTATAATAACTGCAGAGTAGTGGACTTTGGCCTTTCAGTATTCACAGCACTCTACTGAAAACCAAGAATCTTCGTGGCATGCTTGAAGCGATCCCAAGTCTCAAAACCACACTAAATTCAGTTATGATTACAAGGCAGTCACTTACTCAGTGCGACTGCCTATTAAGTCATCCATTATCACACTTCGTGTGGTAGCCCTTCGGCAACATGACTGAATGATGTTTGCTCTTCTCAGTTCTCTCTCTTATATATCTGTCCTACTTTCTACAAGCCTTATCTGTTGTTAAAGAGAAAGAAACATGAGGTCAGAAGACCATCAAATTCTTGGCATTTTGATATGAAACTGAAGTTCTTGACCTACAGGACTCTCAAGTGGTAGAGAATTATTTGAAAATTGGCTCAAATTTGCCAAAGTGGACACTTTCCCAGAGCAACACTTGGTGTAGTCAGCCATTTGGTACCTGTATGGCTCTGATCATTGGCTCCCCTGAGTGGTGCACTGTCGCCTCGATGGCTTGTGTGAGATGGCCTAATTTACAGAACCACCTTTATGGGGTCTTTGTTAAAATTCTAAGATAAGAAAAAGGACATTTGACTTTTTCTTTCTTAAGATTTTTTTTATTTATTTTTAAAGAGGGGGGAAGGGAGGGGAAAAGAGGGAGAGGAACATTGATGTGTGAGAAAAACATTAATCAGTTGCCTCTCACATGCACCCCAATGAAGAACCAGCCTGCAACTCAAGGCATCTGCCCTGACCAGGAATCGAACCCAGGAACTTTCACTTTGTGGGATGATGCCCAACCAACTGAGCCAGGACGGCCAGGACTTAGTTTTTCTTTTTATTGTTTTCTGATTTGTTCCACAAGGGTCCTCTATTTTATCAAATGTAAGATGCCATCAATTATGAGATGTATCTCAATTTCTTAAATGTTATGAAGCTTTTGAAAGCTCTACGAGTAATAGAAATTGCTCTGGGGAAAACTGTTAATTGGCTTTGTTTTCTGTCTAGTGTCCTTCACATTTTAGTTCCTTGAGAAGGGGCAAAACACTACTGAATTTCCTCTAACTTCATGTTTTTCCCTACCAGTTGCTTTTCGACTGTATGATTTGGATAAAGATGACAAGATCTCCCGCGATGAGCTGTTGCAGGTATGTGGGAAAGCTCCCATAACACAGATACACAGATAACTTGTGTTTGGGCCCTGCCTGCTTCTTCTTCTTCCTCTTCCTCTTTTTTTTTTTAAGATTTTATTTATTTATCTTGAGAGAGAGAGGAAAGGAGGGAGAAAGAGAGGGAATGAAACATCAATGTGTGGTTGCCTCTCATGCTCCCCCTACTGGGAACCTGGCCCTCAACCCAGGCATGTGCCCTGACCGGGAATCAAACCAGAGACCCTTTGCATCGAAGTCCAGGGCTCAATCCACTGAGCCACACCAGCCAGGGCCTGCCTGCTTATTCTTGTGGACAGGAATTGTTCCTTACTTGTAGGAAGCATTTATTTAACACCTGCTGTGTGCAGAGTTCTATCCTAGATATAAGGCAAAGCAAATAAGCTGGGGAAATTTGAAATGGCTCATTAAGTTCTCACAGACAGATGTCTTCACTATTTAAAACGTAATTTTAAATGTCTTTTAGGTTCTGGCTAGCACAACTAAAATATGTGAGATGATTTAGATTAAAATGTTTTGTTATTGTCCAGTTAGTTTATTGGCAGCCAGGTAATTCTGATAACACTTAGGTAATTACCGCTGTGTCGTCTATTTTGGGGTTTGACACAGGACACAAGGAACTGCTGCTGGCCTGTGGGCTCATTGCCCTTTGTCGCTCCCATGGATGAGTTCCCTGTCCTCTACTGGCAGTGACTGACGTTTCATCCTGTTAGCCATTCCCTTCTATTTTTCCTCTCCTCCCTCTCCAAAATACAAGTTTAGGAGGGGAGAAAATTCTCCTCTTTTCTTTTTTAAATATTTGTAAATCTCGGGGACCCTAGGAGGCTAATACTCTCAGGACTTTATGTAGGGAAATTTGTCTATTTCAAGGTACACCTAAAAAGCAAAGTGGTTTTTATTCCCCTTGAAATAAATCTGAACTCATTCGGTGAGTTGAGTGTCTTCAGAAATCTTTTAAGTTGCCAATAACTCAGATCTATCTCAAGGTATTCCCATATTCTATGTCTGAGCAAAAACTGAAACGGTCTACAGGTCAGTGTTAGCATCCTTTGCTTTTTAGTTGGATAACTTTCTTCAGTGAGAAGAATTTATTCAAAATGGCTGCTTATAAGTTCCAAAGAGAAAAAGTAGAGGCAGTCACTTACAGGTACACATTTTCATCCTCTGGCCCAGATCTGGCTGCCAGAAGATTTTTTATTTTTTGGAGTAGGGGGTTGATTTATTTTCTATGATTAAGATTTGAAAAGCCTGAAGCAGGGAGTGGGGCCAGAATGCCAGTCAGTGCCACTAGAATGTTCCTCAGGCCTGAAATGACTTTTGGACAAAAGTGCTCACGGTCTGTTGAGGTGTCAGAGAACTAGGTTTATCCTAGCCAAAGAGGGTATGGACAGTTTACCAAAATGAGAAGGGAGCAAAACCAACCTTTCAGACACGACCATTTCTAAACGTTTGGTGACATGCAGTTCTTAACTGTTCAGTGGATGCTAAAAAGTTGTGGTCAGTGTACCATAAGGAAAGGCTGAGTTCTTGTTATGATTTTTGTTAAAGTCTTGGTTTATCTTTGTAAAAGTCTTGGTTTTGCTTTTCGGGGGGATGGATATATTCATTATTTTGATTGTGGTGATGGTTTTACAGGTGGGTACATATGTCAAAACTTATCCTAGTGTACATTTAAATATATACATTTTAAATATGTACAGTTTATTGTGAATCAATTATACTTGAATAAAGGTAGTTGCTGTAATCATTTTATGAGGCTGGCATAACTTTGATATGGGAACCTTATAAACACTCTACAAAAAAAGAATATTACAACACATTCTCTTTCATTCACATAGATGTCAAAATCCTAAATAAAATATTAACACACTGAATCCAGCAATATATAAAAAGGACACTATGTTATAGCCAAGGTAGGTTTTATACGAGGAGTTCAAAATTGGTTTAAAATGAGAAAATCAGTGTATTTTGCACATTAATAGATTACAAAAGAAAAACTGAATAGCCTTTTCCATAGAAAAAAGGGCATTTGGTAAAATTCATCATTCACTCATGATTTTTTTTAAAAAGAAGTCTTAGAAAAACAGAAGAGAGCTTTCCTTCACTGGTAAAGGGTATATACAAAAAACCTCACCAGACATTAAAATAGTAATAATAAGAGTCCCATCTGCTAATAAACACTTCTGACTGGAACCGAGAGTGATTCCGTGGAGAGGTGGGAAGCACTCCAGCTGGCCATGGAACCCTGGGCGCACAGCTTAGGGCCCTGATTGCTAGGACCTGTATCAAGCCACTTCCTCATGTCCTCACTGAGGGACTGGTTGAGTGATTTTGAAGACACCACCACTCCTGTCCCCACCCTCTATACACACACAGCACACATGCATGATTCAGTTTCATAATTCTAAAAATAAAACACTTTAAAGAATAATTAGGCTGAGATCTGATCTAAAGAGGGTTGAGGACAGAGTGATCTGTCTAGTTGGCCACACACAACAGGAAAGTTGGCAAATGGCTTGGCTATTTTTTATTTTTACTAGCATTGCTTCTTTTTATTAATCCTTCAATATGTATTCATCTGTGCCCAAAATGTACAACTTCCAATTTTCAAGAACTGAGTTGTGAAAAAAAAATGGTCAGCATTGACACACATCAATATTTCAGCTCTCTTTTTCTTTTCAGAAAAAAACATAATTTACTTTTTAAAAATCATTTCATAAGATTGGCGAAGGCTATAAAGGAGTGGGGGAGTGGAAAGCTGTGAACAGCTGGGCGAGGAGGCCTTTTTCCCTGTGGAAAGTCTCTGCCCTCTCAAAGACAGAGGCGTCTGACTGCAGCGATGTGAGGCGTCGCAAAAGCACCCTTGCCCCCATTTCATATTGTCTTAGAATCATATGGTTAGAGTTGTTTATTTTGCTTAAAGTAGCACTTTTCAAAGTATATTTACACCATAAAGATGTTAGCAGAATTGGGAGGGGGCAGATTTGTTATATTTGAGACAAATTTGGTGGAACAGTGTTAACTTCTCTTTAATGCAGTTCTCACAGCCCTTTAAATCTTATTTCAGATGTATGATAGCACTTAGAACGTTATTTTTCTAAAATGGAGGATTTAGTATTTAACCCTTCAAGGATCTTTATGTTTCTTGGCCATACTTTAAGGATGGCCAAACTTATACACGAGTGAGAAGCTAGTTTGCTCCCTGGCTGAGCTAAAACACTGAAGATGTCATGCCAGAGGAGAGCAGCACAGAGCAGAACACCATGGCATAAAACAGACCAGCACAGAGCCAAGCCAAGCCAATAGATCATAGAGGAACAGAGCAGAACTATCTAGCCAGAGAGGAGCCTGGCCGCAGAGCTGCCTCAAAGCCCTGCTGTTTTTACAGTGGTGCTGAATCACAACTGAGCTTTTCTGCACCAAATAAAGTTTCTTCCTTCACTGTGAATGAATGAATGAATGAATGAATGAAAACAAACTAGTTTGCCTCATGCAACAAGTCTGGGCAGATTGTCCAGGTTGATACAGTACCTAAATGATATCCAGGAACCAAACTTCTTCTGTATTCTTGCTCTTACATCCATAGCACACATGACTTTTCACCTCAAGGTCCCAGGATGGCTGCTGTACCACCAGGAATTATATCTACATTCCAGGCAGGAAGAATAGGGTAAAGCAAAATGCAGAGGACTTTGCCCAATGAGACTTGCTTTCCTATTCACTGACCTTGCTGGAGAATTCTGTTCATATCATTGTCTGGAATGGTCTACATGAGAAGATAAGAGTGTCAGCTTTCTGGCTATTGTATTTGAGGGCATTGAAGGAAAAGGGGTTTGGGCTTTATTATTAATCTTAGTAAAAGAGTCCCCCTGACCTTAGTCCCCTGTAATCCTGGTTCTTGGTCTGGCAGGTGCTACGCATGATGGTCGGAGTGAACATCTCAGATGAACAGCTGGGCAGCATCGCAGACAGGACCATCCAGGAGGCTGATCAAGATGGAGACAGCGCCATATCTTTCACAGAATTTGTTAAGGTCAGTCAGTCATCTTGTGGTTTGAAAAGTTAAGCTCTGCACAGGAGGGAGGGAAAAAAACATTCAGATAAGAGCATGGGACAGTTTCTGTAATTGGTTCTTTCCCCACCCCCCAGGTTTTGGAGAAGGTGGACGTAGAACAGAAAATGAGCATCCGATTTCTTCACTAAAGGACTGAGACCAAACTATTCCCTGCTGTCTAGTATTTAAGAACTGGAACTTGGGAGTCCTCCTGTCCACCACCCCACCTCCACCCCATCATTCGCCTTCTCCCAAAGTACTACTGCTGTTGCATGACAACCCCCAGTATGTTCTGCCAACATAAACTTGCCTTTGGTGTATAAACAGGGCATTACAGAATGGTACACCTGGTCTGTATCTGTTCCGTATCGTTCGCCGGTTATCTCCATTTCTAAATATTTTCCCGACCCCAGCCCCACCCCTGTTCTGCTGCTGAATACTCCATGTGCATCTCATCTGAGAAAGTGAGAAACTGAATCAGGTCAAGAACCTGCCAGCATAGCTCTTTTACTGGATGTAGACTATGGCCACACTGCCTTCCTCCAGCAAGGCTTTGGCATGCTCCCCTATCCTTTTTATGTGTTGCTTGCTTTCTGCTTCTCTTTTACCCAGTACATCATTCACTTAGCCTTTCAGTCTCCCTGCTTTTTATTAAGCTTCAATCTCCTCTGTTCTACTTAGCACCCCAAGCTATGCCTGTTCAGTGTATTTCTGACTTGGCAGGATAGTTCGGTGGTCTAGCAGTTTTGAACTACCTTTACTCTTAAATAGATCTCTGGGATGTTGCCTCTCCAGGAGCTTTTCAATAACCAGCACTTCTGTCAGAAAACTGTGATGGTCTCTTGGTCCCCTGCACTCAGCTTTGTCATCAAAGGGCTGTGGGTTGAAGATGTTCTTGAAAGGTGGTGGCCTTAGTGAGAGGGGTAGAGCACAGCCTTTCAGCTGACTTGCCCAGGTAGCTCTACCTCTGGCCTCTAATGCTCAACGTACATACCTACATGGCTGCTCTTACTAGTACAGTGTTGACTTTTCAGAAAACAGCCATATGCCGACAGATTTGCCTAGTTTGGGGAGACTGTTACCACTGGAATGGCTGCTCTGGCAGTATGCTTGGGGACTTTCTCATGGCTGTTTGAACAGTGAGGCTGGACACCCTAAAAGCCTCATGTATTCCCACATCTGCAGCATGGTTTATGCCTCAGTGTTATGTGCCCTGGCATATTTTTCACTTCACATTTCCAAATAGAACGATTAATGTTACAGAAGTGCCTACTTATCCCAGTCCAAAAGATTTAAAGATTGTCCTCAGTGTCTTGAAGTTTTGCACAAAATACTTTATGAATTTTACACTTGTCAAATGTTAATGCTGGAAGCCATAGTCAGCTCCCCTAAGACAGGTCCAGAGCTTTGAATGTATTGTATCTTTAGTAGCCTGGTTACACTGATTTCCTAGCTCCTCTCTTTGACTACTGCTAATCCTTTTGAAACAAAGGGTCTGGCCCTGGTGGCACAACCTGAGGTGGCATTACAGGCCTTTGCATGAGCCAGAGCACATTTTCTGCCTAAGTCAGTTTAGTATGAACCTCATTGAATCAGGCTGTTGTCATCCTAACATCTGTCTTTATGAGTCTGTTCATCCTTATAACTGCCCTTGGCTGATTTTGTCTGGCTTATTGCTTGTTTGCATGTTTCCTTGCTTTGGAAGGCTATCCAAGACGTATATACAGTACTTTAGGAAGGGAATTACTAAAGGAAAAAAAAAAAAAGAAGAAGAAAGAAAGAAAGAAATACCACTGCAAGGGATTAGGAACAGTGGAGAACAGAGGAGTGGCCAGACTGGAAGACTCAAATATAAATGACTGAAAAATTCTTGGTGAAGTATCAGTCTGACTGTAATCGAGTAAGGTGGTATAGGAATCATAAAAGGGAAGATTTGTCCAACACTGATTTGTTAGAGAGATACTTCAAGGCTCCTTGACTTGCATATTTAAAGTTCCTAAAATTAATGGCTTTTTCCTCCTTTTGGCTGTATAGCAAACTGTTTTAATCCACAGTTGTGCCTTATTGTTCCATTAAAACTGTATTCTCTGATTCATCAATAAATACTTGCAGTTAAAACAATACAGCTTGGTTGATTTTGTCCATGTTTTTTACAAGAATTTTATATAACTCAGTCACCTTCAAGTTTGAAATCAGTGTCTCCTGTAAGGTGTGTCTGTGATATCAAATGCGGGTCTTCTCAGCTGCCGTGGTGTGAGGGCATTCATGTATGGGCCAGCAGTGTATGCCTCTGGGCACAGCGATGTCAGCCTCAGCCACTTCCCGCTCACTCCAGGTAAGATTCAATTTCTGTTATTGACCCTTGGCTCCTTAAATATAGAAAAAGCCTAAAGATGGGGTATCTGTCTATCGCTTGTTATTAAGTTGTGTAGGCTCTCATGCATGTTTTGCCTCAATGACATATTGTACCCAGCTTTTATTACATGGCTTTTCACATCTTCAAGCTTTAGTGACTGATTAGTCTATGTAGAATATGAGTATCTATTCTTATTTTAAGGTTTAGTAGCAGTAATAGCTGGACTCAGTTATGCAAATTCAAACACGCTACCTTCTCCTTTTGACATCTCTCTGCTTCCAATTCCATTCATAATGACGTGCACAGTGTTCCATCATTGTTTCGCTTTGAGTCCAATTTTAGGATTTGGAAAAAATGAAAAATAGAGTGACCAAATAGGCAATTTGGAGGAACTGTAATGTTACTGACCATGTCTATAGGTATACCAGTATGTGACTAAAGTGAAACAATACTGTGAAAAAATTTAAAAATCATTACAACATTAAATATAGTTGGAGGAGAATCTCTAATTTTATTTCCCTTTCTCCCTTCTGTTCCATCCATGCATTAAATATTTGAGCTTAAATGAAACATAACACAAGATTATATTGGCTTTTAAAAATTAACATTGTAGCCCTGGCCAGCATGGCTAAATTGCCTGGGCGTTGTACCACAAAGCAAAAGATACTAATCTTTACAGAAGTGCCAGTTTGATTCCCAATCAGGACACATGCCTGGGTTGTAGATCTGGTCCAGTTGAGATGCATACCAATTGATGTATCTCTCACACATCTATGTTTCTCTCTCTCTCTTTCTCCCTCTCTTCCCCTCTCTAAAAATAAATAAATCTTTAAAAATTAACATTGTAATATTTCTTCATGTTATGTGTTCTTCCTAGTTTGTATTAATGATTACATAATATTTTACCAATTGACGTAATATTTAACCATTAATTTGTTTGCCTTTTATTTCCAGTTTTATGGTATAGAATGATACAGTGAATGCCTTTCTGCATATAACTTTCCTTGAAAATGCATAGGAATAGGATTATTAGGTCAAAGTTTGGGCATATACTTAGAAAAAGGAATGAATGCCACAAGCTATCAAATTACCCTATTGTTCTTTTTATTTTTTTTAATTTTATTTTTTAGGTATAAAAGTGAAATTTTAAAGTATATTTTACTAATTGTGCTGTTACAGTTGTCCCAATTTTTTCCCCTTTGCTCCCCCTCTGCTCAGTACCTCCTTCCATCCAGCAATCCCTCCCTTTAGTTCATGTCCATGGGCTGTACACATAAATTCTTTGGCTTCTCCTTTTCCTATACTGTTCTTAATATCCTTCTGTCTATTTTGTACCTACCAATTTATGCTTCTTATTCCCTATACCTTTTCCCTCTTTCTCTCCCTTCCCCTTCCCAGATGATAATCCTCCAAATGATTCCCATACTTATGATTCTGTTGCTGTTCTGGTTGTTTGCTTAGTTTGTTTTTGTTTTTGTTTTTTTAGTTTCAGTTGTTGATAGGTATGAGTTATCATTTTAATGTTCATAGTTTTTATCTTTTTCTTAGATAAGTTTCTTTAACATTTCATGTAATAATGGCTTAGTGATGATGAATTCTTTTAGCTTTACTTTGGGAAGCACTTTATCTCCCCTTGCTAAACCATAGCTTTGCTGGATAGATCAGGCTAAGTTGTAGGTCCTTGCTTTTCATCGCTTTGAGTACTTCTTGCCAGTCCCTTCTTGCCTGCAAGGCTTCTTTTGAGAAATCAGTGGACATTCTTCTGGGAAATCATTTATAGACAACCCTCTGCTTTTCTCTTGCTGCTTGTGAGATTCTCTCTTTATCTTAAACCCTGGGCATTTTAATTATGATGTGTCTTGGTGTGGTCCTCTTTGCATCCATCTTGTTTGGGACTCTTTGTGCGTCCTGGACTTGCATGTCTATTTCCTTCACCAAATTAGGGAAGTTTTCTTTCACTATTTGTTCAGTTAGATTTCCAATTTCTTGCTCTTTCACTTCTCCTTCTGGCACCCCTATGAGGCAAATGTTAGACCTCTTGAAGTTGTCCCAGAAGCTGCTTTTACTACCCTCGTTTTTTTTGGATTCTTTTTTCTTCTTGTTCTGATTCATTGTTTTTCTGCTTCCTTGTATTCCAAATTGCAGATTGTATTCTCGACTTCATCCACTCTATTGTTGTTTCCCTATAAATTGTTTATTTCAGTTAGTGAATCCTTTGTTTCTGACTGGATATATTTTATGCTGCTGAGGTCCTCACTAAGTTCCTTGAGCATCCTTATAACCAGTGTTTTGAACTCTGCATCTGATAGATTGCTTACCTCCATTTAATTTAGCTCTTTTTCTGGAGTTTATTCTGTTCTTTCATTTGGGCCATGTTTCTTTATCTTTTTATTTTGGCAGCCTCCCTGTGTTTATTTCTATGTGTTAAGTAGAGCTACTTTGTCTCCATGCATTGGTAGTGTGCCTTAATAAATAGATGTCCTGTGGGGTGCAGTGGCAGAGCCTCCTCTGTCACCCAAGCTAGGTATTCGAGGTGCACCCTTCATGTGGGCTGAGTATACCCTCCTCTTGTAGTTGAACCTTGGTTGCTGTTGGAAGATCAATGGGAGGGATTTACCCAGGCCAGTGAGAGAAGGATTGGCTGTGACCACTGACCACCAACCTCCACCCTTCATGGAAGATCGGCTGTGCAGGGACAAGGATAGTGGTGGTCTGATGTGGACTGTAGCTGTCCACTGGAGATTTGGTCCTGAGGTGTCCTGGGTGGTGCAGGCCAAGGTCAGTCCCAATTTGTGCTTTGTCCCCGGACCACCCTTCCTGAGTGATAGAGCAATCTGAGAAGTCTGCTACTTGTGCTGGGTTTGGAGTTTCACAGGTGAAGCCAAGCTGTGAAACTAATCTGGCTGCTGCTAGTGCCAGGCTGGAGCTCACTGAGGCCAGCTTTTGCTTGTTTGATAGGATTTAGGAGCCATGACCAGCCATTCATATGGAAAAGCAGCTTGGGTGCGCCAGTAAGTTGGGTGGGGTAGTGTCTCTGGAGATCTCCAAGGCAGGTCACACTGTTAGCCAAGTCGATGAAGTCTCAAGTCGGCTCCTTGGATCTGTAGGGGAAGGGCTCAGGAAAGGGACAATTGTCCTGATGTCACACTGTGCTCACCCTGATGCCAGACATCTCAGCCTCTCCCAGTATGCCACTGGTGCCTTTCAAGCTGCTGCCCTGGTGCTGGCTGGAGCTCAGAGGGAATGAGTCTGAGTAGGTGAGTCCATGTGTGGGTTCTTTAAGGGGAACTGCTTGGGACTCCAGAAGTTTGTTCCACCAAGTCAATCCCCACTGGTTTCTGCAGCCAGAAGTTATGGGGATTTATCTTCCTGGCACTGGAATCCAGGGCTGGGTGGCCTGGTTCAGATCTGGGACTCCTCACTCCCAAGATATCCCTCTTGAATTTTTATCCATGTGGGTGTGGGGCCAGCCTGTTCTGCATCTGCACCCCTCCTAGTGGTCTGGATGGATGTGGTTTCTTCAATTCTGTTGTTGTCAGACTTCCATTCAACTCAATTTTGTAGTTGTCATACTGTATTCAACTTGATTTCTGATGTTCCTCAGTGATGGTTGTTCTATATTTTAGTTGTAATTTTGATGTGTTTGTGTGAAAAAGCAAGCCTTGTCTGCCTACACTGCCATCTTGACTGGAAGATGTGTCTAATGTTCTTTTTAGAATATCCTTTATAGTCATCTGTTTTTTTCAAATTATGAAAAACATTTTTCAATCATGTTGACTTTTATATTAAAAACACTGTTAGAATAGTTTATGTTGATTGGGATTTAGAGCAAGTATTTACTGCAGAGATGCCGCAGAGAGGACTGTCTTTACAAACGGGATTTCTTATGCTACAAACCAGATATTTATCCTGTTCATCAAACACTGATTGCAGAATTACTTGGAAGGAAACCATTGCAACTGGACTGATACTCCCTAAATTCACATTATTTTAGCTGAGTTTTGACTCAACAAGCAATTCAAACTAAAGATGGCTGGTATTTGCCAATATAGACTTGTTTAACATTTAGTTTAGTAGAAACTCCAATTTAGAGATTTTATTATTTTCCTCTACATCAAGCAGTGATGGGAAATTTAGCTGATAAGTTTGTTAGGTACTGCAGACTGTTTCTTCACAGCTCTGAGGGAGAACAGACAGCAATGAAGAGTTTCATGCCTTAAAAGACTCATGTCTTTTAAGATGAGTAAGTGACCAGCCTGACATCTTTACCCAAGGTATAGCCTGATCAAGTACTTGGTCTTGAGATGATAAGACTCAGTCTTCTAAGCACTAGATTCTGATCTCACCTCAAAACTATCAGGACTGTGTATTTGGAGACATAGTCTTGACCCTTACCACCACCCTTTTCAGTCTTAAAGAACTGAACCAGGCAGGTGATTGTTATATCTAGAACCTGAAGGTGGCTGGAGAAATAGGAATTGGTCAAAGAACATCTGTGGGCTACTACAACAGATATTAATCACCATTAAATTAGCCACAGTTTGAGTGTTTTATTCACAAGAGAAAAAAATCTTTTTCTTCTGGAGGATGCTCCTACCAACTGACCGACACCAGTCAGGGCTCTCCACTTATTGAGATCTTCATTTCTCTCAGCATATTTTGTAGTTTTCAGTGTATGAATCTTGGCATTGTTTTATTAAGTTTTTTCCTAAGTAATTTACTTTTTGATACTATTGTGAATATAATTGCTTTCTTCATTTTTGTTATTCATATAGAGAAATATAGTTGATTTTTGCCTAGTGATCTTGTATCCTACAACTTCGTTAAACAGGTAGTTTCTAGTATAGAGAGAAATAGGGAGAGAGAGAAATATTAATTTGTTATTCCACTTATTTTATGTATTCATTAGTTGATTCATTTTTTTTTTTTATCCTCACAGGGACAAACTTGCAACATAGGCATATGCCCTGACCAGGATTTGAACCTGCAAACTTCCTGTTTATAAAATGATGCTCCAACCAACTGAAATAAACCAGCCAGTGGTAGATGATTCTTGTATATGCCCTGACTAGGATCGAAACTTGCTGTATTAGGATTACACTCAGACCTGGCTGTTGTGGCTCAGTGGATTGAGTGCCAGCCTGCCAACCAAAGAACTATGCTCTAACCAACTGATCTACCCAGCCAGGGCTTTATATGCTTTTGTAGAGAGGATCATGTCATAGGCAAATAAAGGCAGTCTTTTTTTTCTTTCAATCTGGATGCCTTTAATTTGTTAGCTTCTTGCACTAGCTACACCCTCCAGAATAATGTTGAGTAGAGATGGTAGGAGCCTGTGTCCTTGCCTTGTTTCTGATCTTAAATAGAAAAGTATGAAGTCGCACCAATAAGTAAATTAGCGGTAGGTTTCCCTTAGACACCTTTTATCATATGTTTCTGTTAAAATAAGATGGCTTGGTCTCATCCAAAGACTTAAGAATTGGATCTCAAGGAGTTGTAGCCTAGGCAATCTGTACTCGAGTGGTCCAGATGACAGAGTTAGTGGTGACCTACACCAACCAACCAGGAGCCGCTTGCGGAAGCCGGAAGAGGAGCTCCTAATGACGCTCCTAGGACAACCACTGAAGAAAGGATCTCTAGAGCCCTACAGCTTTCTTCAGCTCTTTGTTGGATGTAGGAAGCAACAAAATAGCCCAGCTATAACATTGGGCCCAAGGGCCCTCAAAGAAAAGTGACGAATTTTACACAGCGGTAAACAGCAGCCCAACGTTTCAGTCCTTTAAGACTCAAAATGGGCCCTGGCTGGCATAGCTCAGTGGATTGAGCGCTGGCTGCGAACCAAAGTATCACAGGTTTGATTCCCAGCCAGGGCACATGCCTGGGTTGCAGGCCACTGCCCCCAGCAACTGCACATTCATGTTTCTCTCTCTTTCTCCCTTTCCTCCCTCTCTAAAAATAAATAAATAAAATCTTTTTTAAAAATCGAAATGGGTCAAACAGAGAAAAACTGGAGCAATTAAATTGTTTGCCTAGGTCGTTATGCCCAGGATTAAAATCTCCAGGGCCTTAGTATCAGATAATTAGCATTATTGTTTAGCCTAATGATGGTTTATAATAGTCCTGCGGCCTAGCCAAACTACCACAAAGTGACACTGTTTCTATGCGGAAATAATTTTACGTTCTTAACAAACGAATTACAAAAGCAATTTTCCTGTTACCTCAACCCTGGGACCCAATCCAACAAACGAGGGACAGAGAGAATGTAGCTAATACTATTGATTGGCGTGCATTCCAACCAACCTACAAGGGAAGGAGAGTACGCATGCACAAGTCGTTATCCAATCAGTACGCAGCGGCAGAGGCAGGGCTTGTGGAAACGGCCTCCACTGGGTTGGCGGACTTGTGAAGGAGCAAAGATGGCGGAGTAAGAAGCTCCGCTGTGGTCCGGCCTACTTAGGCCCGGCCGGGGTAGGCCGGTGCCCGGGCGATCCATTGCTTCTGCTGACTCATGCGAGGTAAGCCCAGAAGGCCAGCAACGAGAGGACAGCTAAGAATTGGCCCGGCCCAGCCCTGCGGTGGAGCCTGCCTGCGCTGGCACTGGCTTCGGCCGCCGTGGGTTTCCTCCCGAGCTGTCCCAGGGTGGCCGCACCCGCCTTGTGGGATATCACCACTTGGTCCTCGACCGGCCACTGACTGACCCCAATACCACGTCTGACTGCCGGGTGTTCCCTGGTGGTTGCGCCCACCCGGGGGTGTGTGTCTGGCAGCCTCTGTGTCTGCCGTTGGTTTATCTTTTGAAGAATATATTTATACTCCTCGCCTCAACGGCTTCGTTGTCACTGTTTTGCCTGAGGCTCCTGTATCGATCCAGGCCTGCTACGGTTAGGAGTATTTTGTGTCCTTGGTCCTTTGACCTTGAGGTTTGGTCTAACAGGTTGCCCCTAGGATTTTTTTGTTTGTTCCAAAATCAGAGATCCCTAGGATTTTAATTTGAGCCTGTGTATAGTGCATGTCCCCTTGCCACCTTGCTACATCCATTCGTTCCCATCCCACTTCAAACTTGAAAGAGCTCAGTAAGAAGCTTTGTCCCTGTGTGACCTACCTCATAATTCCCTAAAGGGCATTAATCTCGGCTTTCTCTAGGTCTCGGTAGAATTCTCCGTTGTTTTCCAGAGCTAGAGTCAGTATACAATTTTTATTTATTTATTTCTTTATAGAGAGAATTTAGATTTTGGGGAATTATTAGAACGTAATTTGTGTAATATGGTGGGATTGCAAAGTGTAATACTGTCAGGCATTTGTATTCGGTTTTTGTTTAACATTATGGGGTATCTTTTTTTGTAATTTAGGTTGTTACCACCCCTCAGTCGTTCTTTCAGTTAAATTCTGGGAAAAGTTCCTATTATCAGGTTTGTGAATTGGTGAAGCCTGTTTAAAACAGCACGTCAGTTGGGTCCAGTTCGGTCCAGTTCAAATGACATGTCATAATACAAATGAATGTTTCTGATAAGGCTGTTTGCTGGCCCTGGATTGAACAGAGCTGAAAATATCAGGTAAAGGGCTTTTAAATACGATCTTCCTGTTGATTTTGTCAGGAGTAGGTTTTTGTTTTTTTGTTTTTTTGTTGTTTTTTTTTTCATTTCAGTTAGGAGAAGAAAGAAGATACGGAGTAGAGGAAAGGAAGAGCTTTCTTCCTCTCTGCCTTACTGAGGGGAGTGGTCATCTGTACTAAAGCAAAGGTCTTTTGTGGGGAGAAGAGAGTCCGGAGCATCATCACCAAATGGGATAGTGTTCCATAAAAACTTGATAAACACTGCTTCAAGAGTTTTGACATCTTTATAAAATAAATGCCAGTGCAGGTAGACAGTAACTTCTGACTGTTCCTTCTGAAGTTTTCAATAGTGATGTTTTTTAGAAAAGCTTGATTTATTTGAGTAATTTTGCACAAGAATGCAAAGAGCACCAGTGAGGGCTGTATCCTTACTGTAATGTTCTTTTTATTTTTCCTTATCACAGGAAGAACATTGACTTTTAGGTGCTTTTATATTCATCTGGAAAAGAAAAAATTTTGAACTCAGGATTTGGCAAGTGAGTAATAGTCGCTAATGCTTCCAAATACTGTTTAAGCAGCTTGAAAATAGCTGGATAGAAGAGGAACGATAAACCATTAGCTAAAACAGAAAATGAATATCCAAAGTAACTATAAATAATTGATATGTAAGCTTAATCTTTTATTTTCAGCAATAACAATGCATTAAGTATAAAAAAGAAAAGAAAGACTTAATCATTTGCCCAAACCCACTGAGCTACAACAGTTATGGTTAAAATATAAATTAAAAAAAATTTTTTTTAATTTGTTAACTTTAGAGAGAGAGAAGAAGGGAAAGAGAGAGAGAAACATCGACTTGTTGTTCCACTTATTTTTGTATTCATTGGTTGACTCTTGTTGTGTCCTGACTGGGGATTGAACCCACAGCCTTGGCATGTAGGGACAACACTCTAATTAACTGAGCTACCTGGCTAGGGCATGATAAATTTTATGTTACATGAATTGTACCACAATTTTAAAAAGTGGAAAAAAGGTAAGTAAAAAACTCTAACTATAACCCCAGTTGGCTCAGTTGGTTGTAGCATTGTCCCATAAATCAAATGGTCACAGGTTTGACTCGCAGGCAGGGCACATGCCTAGGCTGTAGGTTTGGACCCTGGTCAGGGCAGTTAAGAGAAGCAACCAATTGATGTTTCTCCCTCTCTCTCTCTCTCCTCCCCCAGCCTTTCCCCTTCTCTAAAATCAATAAACTTGTCCTCTGGTGAGGATTTAAAAATAAAAAATTCTCACTATATGTTTCAGTATTAAGAAAAGGAGTAAACATTGGGCAAAATGCCTTTTAAGTGATAGAGTCTTTATCATATGGTTTACAGGAGAGGCTTTATTGCTTAGATTTAGAATCTTAAGATCGACAGTAATGGAAACTTGACATTGGGCATAGCACAATGTTGCTAGCAATTTACATATCCATAAGGAAATGATATAAATAAATGTAGGTGCCTCCGAGAAGTACTTACAAGGTAGCTTTAATTCTGGAAATCGAATGATCTCATATGTATTAAAGGGGAAAGCAAGGTGCAGAACTAAGTGTATCACATGCTTTCATTTTGGGGGAGGAAATCTATTTACACAGATTTTATGTAGCTGTAGAATATCTCTAAAAGGATATGCAAGAGACACTATAGATCTTATTTCACCTTGTCCTATCTTGTGTATTTGTTACCTTTCAAGTAAATAATTTAACATATCCAAACAAAGGAAGCACTCAATAAATATTTGATAAATGACTGAGAAGTTAAATTTTTGCCTAAGCAGTAGTTTTACATTACTATAGTCCATTCATATCTGGGGGCAGAAACAAGCCCAACACTTTTTTTTTTTTTTTAATTCGTCATCCAACGATATGTTCATTGATTTTTAGAGAGGAAGGGAAAGTGAGAGAAACATCTATTGGTTGCCTCCCCTATGTGCTTTGACTGGGAATCAAACTCGCAGCCTAGGTATGTGCCCTCACCTGGAAATAAACCCACAATGTTTGGTGTTCTGGATGAAGCTCTAACCAACTGAGCCACCTGGCCAGGACCCCAATAGTTTTTTTAATAAGACACTGAAAAGACTTAATTTGAATGACAATGATAGCCACTGTGTTTTGCGAAGTGTGTTCTGAACTTACTGCTTACATAGCAAAGTAAGAAAGGAGTATTTCACTCCCAGGTCTTTAGAGAAAGCAAAGTGTATTGATGTATGACAAATGACCTGAAATTTAATGAATTAAAACAACAGTATATCGCCCTGGCTGGTGTGGCCCAGTGGATTGAATGGTGGCCTGTGAACCAAAGGGTCACTGGTTCAATTCCTAGTCAGAGCACATGCCTGGGTTTCTGGTCAGGTCCCCAGTAGGGGACACGCAAGAGGGAAGTACACAATGATGTTTCTCTCCCTATCACCCTACCTTCCCCTCTCTCTAAAAATAAATAAATAAAATATTTTTAAATATTTTAAATCTTTACTCTCTACAAAAAAAAAAAACAAAAACAAACAGCAATATATCCCTAACTGGTGTGGCTCAGTTGGTTGGGTTCATACCACAAAGTGGAAGGTCGCCAGTTTGATTCCCGGTCAGAGCACATGCTTGGGTTGTGGGCCTGGTCCCTGTTGGGAGTACATGTGAGAGGCATGTATTTCTCTCACACATTTGTGTTTCTCTCCCTCTCTCCGTCCCTCCCTTCCCCTCTCTCTTAAAAAGAAAGAAAATCTTTAAAAAACTAGTATACGTGTATTATCTCTCACAGATTCATGTGGGTCAGAAATTAGATGGCAGCTTAGCTGGGGATTTCTGGCTTGGGGTCTCAAAAGGTTGCAGTCAAGACACTGTCTGGATTGGCAATCATCAGCTCTAATTCCATGGTGGCTCATTCACGTGACTGGCAAATTCATGCTGGTGAAGGAAAACCTCAGTTCTTTGCGATGTTAGTCTCCTTCCCAGTTGCTTGACTGACATCATAATACAACATCTGCCTTCTCCCAGAACAGGCAGTCCAGGACAAGAAAGTAGAAGTTGGAGCTCCACCTATAACCTTGCCTTGGAAGTCACTCAGTATCATTTCCTCCTCATTCTGTTGGTCACTATTTTGATACCAACTAGTGTACTTTTATACAGTAAGTCAAAAGGCAGGGTCCCCAAGACTGCCCTTACGTTAAATGCCAGTTGCGTGTTGGAGGATTCCCAAGCCACGTGAACCGTCTGAACAACTGGTCACAAATTCAGGAGTTCCTATGACTCTGTCCAAACCAACTTGTGGTTTTGTTGACTTTCTCTATTTTTATATTTTATTTAACTCTGCTCTAATTTTTTTCCCTTTCCTTCTTGATAGCTTTCCATTTAGTTTATTCTTTTTCTAGTTAAGGTGTAAAGTTAGGTTGTTGCTTTGAGATCTTTCCTTTTTAATGTGAGCCTTTACAGCTGTAAATTTCCCTCTTAGGACTGCTTTTGCTGCATTCCATAAGTTTTGGTGTGTTGTGTTTTTGTTTCTGTTTGTCTCAAGGTGTTTTCTAATTTCCCTTGTGATTACTTTGACCCACTGGTTGTTTTGGTGTGTTGTTTAATTTCCACAGGCTCATTTATTGTAAACAAGAATTTAAGAGTTTCCCTACCGGGGACAAAAGACAGTTAAATTATTTATTATTCAGCCCTGGCTGGTGTGACTCCGTGGATTGAACACTGGCCTGCAAACTGAAAGGTCACCAGTTCTATTCCTGGTCAGGGCACTTGCCTGGGTTGCCCAGTTGGGGTGTACGAGAGGCATCTGATAGATGTTTCTCTGTGCATTGGCACATCGCTGTTTTCTCTTTCTCCCTCCTTTCCCTCTAAAAGTAAATAAACACAATCTTTAAAAAGGTAAACAATTTGGAAATTCATTATTATACAGTAGTCACTTAGATCAAACCTGATGCTTTATTAGAGGGACTATAAAAAAGTGTGACCACTGGGAGGCAGCAATGACCAGGGACCATTTTGGAAGCTAACTACCACACGAAGTCATTTGACTCAGATCTGACTAGGACGACAACTGCTGCATTGAAATTCCCTGTTTTCCCTTTCCATTCATTCAGTAAGTCAGGCTTTCTGATACAGAGTTACTTTATATAATCAACAGCACTAAGCAGACTTCAGAGACACAGAAGTACCACGTAAGCTGCCAACTTTACAGGGATGTACTTGTGTTTTATAGATCAGAGTATATAGTTGCAGTTTCCTCACCTAACTCTAGAACCTATGTCTATTTAAATTTTAACTCATGTTGACTCAGTGTATTTAAGAGCCCTGCTGTTCTCCTTCATTCAACAAATTTTTATTAAGTGCTTACCATGGGTCACACCCTATTATTGGGATTCATCAGTTAACAAAATGGGTTCCTTCCTAGTGGAGCTTACATTTTAGACAAGACAGTACATGAGAAACATAGTAGGTAACTTAAGTAGTAAGTTAGATAGTATTCTGTGCCATGAATAAAAGAAAAAGGAGAGCAGGGTAAAGGGAAATGGTGGGAGTGTGTCTGTGTTTAGAGGGACTGGCAGGGGGCCAGTGTAACCTAAATAGGGACTCAAAATAGGCCTCATTGAGAAAATAGCATTGGAATAAAAGTGAAGGGACTTAATCATGCAGATACCTGGGAAAGAGTCTTCTCACAAAGGTGACAGCCGGTACAAAGGCTGTAAGGTAAGAGCATACCTGACATTTGAAGAAGAGCAAGGAGTCCACTGTGATTGGAACCCACGATGAAGGCAGGAAAGGGCATGGAGTTGAGGGTCAGAAGAGATATGGTTGAAGGTGGGTGGTGTAGGTCTTAAGGGGAATCTTGTAGGCCAATCTTTGGTCAGAACTTTGGCTTTTATATTGCGCTATTTATTCAGTTTTCAAAAGGGTCCAACAGTTTGTGATACATATGCGGTCTGTCAGGAAAAAGTCCAGCCATTGTTAATATAACGAGAACGGTTTGCACAACATCAATGTAACCTGGCAGCCAAGGAGAGTGGACTGGAATGCACTAGCATGAACAAGGACGACTTCACTGTACTGGTCAGTGGGGGGCAGTAGATGCCATTGAATGAACATGTGTGCTGTGTGGCCATTGCATTCAAACCAACTTGAGTAACCAGAGCAATGAATCTGCATCAAATCTTGCATTAAGTTTGCATAGTCCTCTGTGGAAACTATTCCGATGATTCAGAAGGCTGCAGCTATGGGTAACTGGCAGCTTTATCACAACAATGCACCCACTCATGCATCATGTCTCCTGCAGAGGTTTTTCATAAAACATCAAATCACCCAGGTGACTCAGCCCCGCTACAGCCCAGATTTGGTGCCCTGCGACTTCTGGCTTTTCCCAAAACTAAGGTCATCTTTGAAAGAGGAGATTTCTGACCATCAGTGAGATTCAGGAAAATACAACGAAGCAGCTGATGGCAATTGTATGAGATCCCAAGGTGCCTATTTGTAGAGGACTGAACCCCTACAAATTGTCCTATGACATGATTTCTTGTGTCTTGTATCTTCTTCAGTAAATGTCTCTTTTTCATAGTGCATGGCTGGGTACTTTCTGGACAGACCCTGTATGTATGTATTTAGAGTATAGAAAACGGAATAGTCATGTCTAATATCTAAAATTGGGTATTTTGAAGAAAATACAAACTTATGATATTCTAGCATTATTTCCAAATATTAAGATAATGATTGTATGCATTTTTATTAGTGCTGCTGAAGGAATATGAAGAAAAGGTACTTTTTTTAAGGCTTGTTTTGTACTTGTTTGGTTATATATTCTGGAAAGAACTAGCTTTTTTTTTTTTTTAAATCCTCAGCCAAGGATATGTTTATTGATTCTAGAGAGAGAGAAAGGGAAAGAGAGAGAAGACATCAATGTGAGAGAAAAACAAGGATCAGTTGTCTCCGATATGCACCCCAACTGGGAATCAAACCCACAACCCAGGTATGACCGCTGACTGGGAATCCAGCCTACAACAGTTCCGTGCACCAGACGATGCGTCAACTAACCAGCCACCTGGCCGGTCCCTGCCAATTATCTTGCCATCAGAATCCAACTGTCTAACTCTAGTGGCTGGTGCAAACTTTGAATCAGCCTGAATGGGCTTATATAACAAAACAGCCCTGTTGCTGGTGCGGTTCTGATGGCCTGTCTGTGGATTGACTATATTTTTTCCCCTTACAGTGCTGCTTTGGCAACAAGTGCAAATTCCATAATTCTCTTACTCTTGATTTGATTCTGAATTAATTTACATTTGCCTTTCATAAGTTTTGATTCAGAACTGTGTCACCTTCAACCAGAAGAGGGTATTCATATTCAGTGAAGTAACTTTTTAAAATGTATATGACATACTAAAAAATGAGGACTAATTAGCTAATTGCAATTTGCCATTTTTGTAAGCCATAGTAATTTAAGCTGTTGATAGCATCAGTGGTTTTTAAATGTTATATTATAAAATACACATAATGTAAAAGTTATCATTTTAACCACTTTTAAACGTACAATTCATTGGCATTAGGTACATTCACATTGTTGTGCAGCCATTACTAGCATCTATTTCTAGAACTTTCTCATCATCCCAAACAGAAACGCAGTACCCATTAGTAACTTTCAATTCCACTTTTTGTCCCTATGAATGTGCTTATTCTAGGTACCTCATTTAAGTGGAATTATACAATATTTATTTTTTTGTCTGACTTTTGCAGATACTTGCAATTTAACAAGGGCTATGTTTAACAGCAGTAAACTGCTGATGTTTTTAAATGCTTGCATTTGGTGACATGATACAGTACAAATTATTTAACTTATACTCTACAATTGTTCAATGTTAGTCTCGTGTAGTTGAAGATAATTCAAAGTAAGATGCTTCATATATGGCATGAGTCTTGAGTATTTAGACATCAGATTTGGAGTACAATACTGCTTTTATCTATTTATCTATTTCAATCCTCACCTGAGGATATGTTTATTGATATTTTAGAGAGAGAGAGAAACATCCATTGGTTGCCTTCTGTACACACCCCAACGGGGGACTGAACCCACAACCTTTTGGTGAATGGGATGATGCTGAAAACACCTGAGCTGCCTGGCCAGGGCAAGTAGTACACAGCTTTTAAACACAAATATTTTATACCATTTTATGGCTGTAAAAACTTAGAGTATGTTACTCCATTCGGCATAAGAGGAAATTAATGTGTATATTTCACTTTATGTAAGTTTTTATATACATCTAACTTTTTTGTATCATACTTATATTTTTTTCTGGCTACTGCTTTTGCTTTTCTGATGACAATACTGAATTTGGTGTTATGTTGGACATTTTCTCTTAGATAAAGTGTAATCCAAAACATTGTTTTCTTTCTATGTGTTAAATATTTTTAAAAGTAAGCTCATACAGGAAGTACCTGTTCTAATCTTCCTGTTTTTAAACTTATTTTGTATTTCTAGGAATTTCTATGTTGTCTCCTGGAGTGGATAGTCCTGCCTCTTCTATCCAGTCCCTTTCCATAATCTTGAAATGCAAGTATCTCTTCTCTACACTTTACCTCCATGATTGGAAAGGCAGCTTTTCTTTTTTCCCCACGTCAAAAATTCAACACAGAGAAGCTCCTAGGATGCAGTCATTCTGCCAATTTCTTCAGGAAGAAAGAAGCAACTGACATGTTTCTTCTGCTATTTTCTTAATTGTAAAGAAATTATTTTGCAAGCTGAAGAGTGGTGTTAATTTGAAACAAGTGCTTAGATAGTGGTATTTGTGAACTTTTTACCTTTTGTTCCCAGCAAGAAGACTATCTAAATAGCAAGTATCAAGGTTTTTGTTGTTGTTGTTTTTAAATGTCTTCCAGTTTTAGCACTATCATAAGCACAGTTGCAACTACAGGAGTAAATTACAAATGTGTTGTAATTGGAAATGGAAGAGATGCTAAATATATATGTATCTCCAGGCTCATCCTGTGACATAGATTAACTGGCTAAGAACAGAGGTCCAATATTGCAGTTAAATCTTTGATGTGATAAGCATAACAACAAAATATCAAAAAGTTAATTCCATGTCTGAATAAATCATCACCATCTCTGTATAACTACGTATTGTAACATGTAAATCCACATTCTTGGATGAGAAGAGCAATTTTTTTCTCCTACAGAAGGAAGCTGTCCTGTCTCAGAAGTCTTTGGACATTTGGTATTTTAAAATGCTTTGCTTATCTGTTCTTCTAAGAAAGGGCCATATTGTACAGATGCTAACCCTATGAATGCATGCTTGGAGTTAGTGAAAGTTTGGTAAAAGGAAACAAAAGTTTTGAGTCCAACAATGGAACCCTGTTCACCTCCCTAGGATGAGAAGCTGCTGTTACAAATTACTTCATTCTTTTTTGTGGAGTCTTATATAGCACGTAAGACTTTTTCCATGCTGCTAAAGCTGGAAGATAAATGGCATATGTGGATTTTCTGTTCAGAAGATGGGATGGACCCTACAGTATAACCTGTCCTCAACTTTGGAGGAATGGGGCAAAATGAGAAAACTTGCCATATGACTCCCCTCTCCTAAGAAAAGGAAGCAGAAAATGACTTACAGTTCCACCTGACTTGATGGCATTTTACATCCTGCAGCTGTTTTTGTAAAAGCATAAATAACTTTTTCATGTGATCCAAGACCAGTATTTGGATGTTTGATTTCTTTTTCTAGATGACAGCTGTAGAGTTAGGCTGAAAAGGCTAGGACTCAGGTAACTTTCCTCAATCTCATCAGAGCATGGGCCTCAGACGCAGTGTGCCCAAACTAGTGGTTGGTTCAGTTTACAAGAAATTCAGGTCTGAAAAAAACCTGAAACAAGAAAAATAGTTCCAATAAGAAGTATGGGTCTTACTTTCCCTTAAAACTTACACTGTAGAGGAACAGAATATGTATAGAGCTGTTCTTCTTGCAGAATCAGCAGAGGACCAGGGTGTGAATTGTCAGGTCTCTGTATAAGAAGAATGAAATCTTTATGCATTTTTGTGATTGGAGAAAGAATTTGAAAGAATTTAAAGCTTCTTAGTTGAAATTAAGAACAAATCATCTTAGATTATCTCTGTGATTTTGGGAATATTTGCCTAGGGGCAAACATGCTGTGATGTTGAAAACTTGGGGCAGATTTACCAAAATTTGAGAGGGATAGAACTGGCCAAAAAATGGAGATGGTGAGCACTCTTGATTAGTTTAATTGATCAGCCAATTTAAAATGGCATAAGAAAGCTTTGTAGTAAAAATAAATAGATAAAATGTCATTTTCTCTAATTGAGGGCTATTACTGAGTGGTAAAACATAGAAGTAACTTGGGGTAAAGGTAACAATTTTTTCTCTTAAGTAACTTCCCAGCCACTTATGATATTTTAGTATTTTGGAATCGTTAAGACAACAGAATTTACATACATGGGTCCCACTGATATAATGAGACTATTACATAGAAAAGTCATATCTTTAGTTGTTTGTTACCTATCTTCCTCGTGTCCTTTTGACAACTTTTTGGGTAGGATCATTTGGCAGGAAATAAGGACCCTGCACTATGAGCATAGTGAAACTATCTCTGGCCCACTTGTTTGAATAGGTGTCAGACTCAGCTTCTCCGGTTGCTTTACATTTTTTCATTTCATAGCTAAGAGAACCACTATTTAATGTTCTTTCAAGTTGTTTCTGCATCTTGTTAGCAAATGGCATTTAACAAAATGAGTGTATTCCACTTATATTTGTCCAGCGTTTACTTATATAGAAATTTTTTCCCGGTCTATTTTGGTCCCCTTCTTATGACAAAAGTTGTAATTTTAGGCAGGACTGTGCCTCAAGCTATAGCTGTGCCTGCTTCCTCTCCTTTGCTCATCTATGTTAGCTGGCAGGTTTGGGTTTTTTTGTTTAAGTTAAAAACGGGATATGTGCAATAGAAATATATATATGTATATTTTAATACTTGTGGACAAATGTTACAAGTTGTTTCAGAACAACAAAATCACCAATGTCTTCCATTTTGAGATGTGTATAGTTTTGTAAGCATTAGTGCTTGGTAGAATATTGTAGTGCCATGTTAGGAGTTAGTGCATGAGCCTAGTAATATTTTAAACTTTGGGATGAATTATAATAACCAATAGTGTAAAAAGTGGGAAATTTAGACCTTTTCTTTTTTCATAAGTTTTTGTACCCATGATATTCTCCCTGGGGAGAGATTAGGCCAAAAAAAAAAAACCTTGTTTATAAATAGTAATGTGGGATCGCAGTGTGAAATACTGTGTTTGAGGAGTTTTAAGCTTTCCGTGAGGTAGCTGCAAACCAGCTGCCTTTGTGTCTTATGAAACCTCACATGAAAACGTGGCCCCATTTCATGATTCTGTTTTGCTCAGTTTGAGGTGAGATTGTTCTTATGCTGTTTTCACATTTTGTCTTCTACGTTTATTATTTTCCTACTCCTTTTGCATCAAGAAATTATATCGCATGTCTTACTGAGATGCTCTGTTAGTTGCTTAAATGAGTGCTTTTCTAATCTGCAGGTCATTAACACTTTCTGTCTGCAGCATGCCATGTGTCAGTAGTTCAGAGTGTCCTGCATTAATTTGTCATGTGCTTTTCCCATTTCCAAATTTGCTGAATTGTGTATTGTTGGAATTCCAGACCTTTTCAAGGAATTGGAAATGCAGCCAACAGAGCCTGTGTAGGTTGCCATGTAGAGTAACTAACTTTTGCTTGGTCATAGCTGCCTCAGACGGCTTTCACTTTTCTACTTTCCTAGTAGACATAAAAGTTATTTTGTTCTGAAAGTGTAAGATAGCTTACTGTAGAAAAGAAATTCCTACCTCTAAAAGCTGCCTTGAGAACTGGGAAGTGGCAGTTTTCTGGGGTGATTTTTAAATCTCAGTATTAGGAGAGTCCAGGATTTATTGACACAGGTCCTACAGTCAGCATGATAGGAAATGCAAATCTATTTTAATGCAGTGTGTCTTGTGTGTAGAAGCAGACTTGGACAAATAGACTCTTCTGCAGCAGATCTCCAGGGACCCAGGTTTCAATTCTCATAGTGTACTTTAAGTAGTTGTACTCTTGGCTCAAATAGTTTAGTGCCTGTGAGAATCCATTTTCGAAAAGCATTTAAACATTTTTTCAAAATACCTCTGAAAAGGTAATGAATGCAAAATAGCACAGTATATATAGCAAAGGGTATTCCCTATTGCAAAAAAAAAAAGCCATAAAATGAACTGATACTTTTTGAGAGGTAGACTTTTACTAGCAATAACAGTTTTGGCATGGTGTAGTAAGTTTCATTAGCAAGCTTGTATAGTAGAGTTAAGTATCACTAGAGTTTGTGATGCTCTGTGGTTAACAGAGTTGCACAAAAGGATGTTCTAGATAAAGAGCATATAAAAGGTACTTTTAAAACTATGAATGTATATGAATATATCAGTGAGAAATAGCAACTTTGTGTAAGTTAAAAGTTAAAGACCCTATTGGTTTCCTAGAGCAGAGGGTTAGAGCCATTGAATGAAATTTTTCTATTGCTTAACCTGGAAATAAATGTACTCTTACTGATGAAGTCCCACTGAAGCCATCATGTGGGGATTTTGCTTATGATTTTTTTTTAAGCACCAGGCTAATAGCATACTTTTTGCTTTGTCACCGTATCTTTCTCCATTAGTTTCCTGGGTGCATTTTTAAAAAGGAACAGTTTGTTGTGTATATGTATTTAAGGTTAAAAAGAACAAGAACTTGGATAGCTAGCTGACCTATGGTTAGTTTAGGGGAGTTAAGATTTAAAGATGTAAAACAAAAGGATTGATGGGAATAGCCAAAGACAGTATGTTGGTTTTTTAAACCTTGTCTAATACAGATGTGCTAGGCTTGTGGCCTGTGACTACTTATTTTAATGGGAACCCAGCAAACTAGTTTCTTGATCTGAGCAAGCTTAGCTCACATCAGGATATAATAGTGGAATGAGGGTGACTTCTTACTCCCTTTTACCTCATGTCATCTTGGCCATTTAGCACCTTGAAGACATCCTTGAGAAGACTCGGTCTCTGTTCCCTTGTTTTGCCAGGGGAAGAAAAAAACTAAAAGATAAATGGAGAAGATCTAAGAAAATAGTGCCTCTTGAATATTTAATTCTTATATGGCAAATCCAAAGGATAGGGAGGCTATATTAAATTGATTATAGCTCCTCTTTAAATGTCCCACGCCATCAGTTGATGTTGGAGACATTGGAATAACCAAGCAATATTCAGACATCTGCATGATCATGAGGACACCAGATGTATTACTGTGATGTCAACAGTTTAGTTTCATAGAACAGTTAAAGCTTACCCTTAACAGCCACATCAGTGGTTTCAAATGCTAAAATGTGCTACAAGTTTTTGTAGTTTCAAAGTATACAGTTAATTACTTTTCATTGTTGTGGTCTCATGTTTACTCTTTGTGTACCTGTGATATGCAAAATATGAAGAGACCCTTGTTCTCCAGGAGTTTACATTATCATGGTGCTGCTGGTGCAAGCAAATTACTTCTAGTTTATTCAGAACATTGCTTGGCTATTAATCATACCATATTTGGAAGGATCCCTTGACCAACCATTTTCAAAACCAGAGGGCTATGCTAAATTTCAGGGCATTGATTTTTGCGTTTACATTGTATTAGCTCTGCTGTTCATAAACTCCTTCCCCCTGGGAGCTGTGCAGGTAATGCTCTTCATATGAATTGGAGAAGAAACCATTCTAAGAGCACCTTTACCATCCCTACACCACTTATGCTCCTCTATGCTACAGCAGGCAAAAGGCCAAGAAACTTACTGCTCCAGAAGACTGTGCATCTCTCAATTCTTTTTTTTCCCAGAGTTTTTACATCATTCTCTATCCAGAAGGACCAGGATTTACAATTAAATTAAGCCTTTTATAACTGAATAGTGGTCCTAATTTTAAACTTCGTGTGTGACTTTTGTACCTCTCTTCTGAAGCATTGTGATAGATGTGGAGCACCTGCCTGCATTTCTAAGCAATTACTTTATTAACCCCCATTTTTTTATTGAAACTTTGCATGTATCCTTTGTTTTTAATTCCTCTGAATCAAGGGGTTTACTTTGCATGTTTATTATTAAAAGTGGGTCTGGATGAAAGTGCAAGAAATAGTAACAGGCCTATAACTCTGATTTTAGAGTACTGATATTCTAATGCATGATTGATTCAAAATGTCCAGTATTACGTGGCTACTAGTAATTTATATATATATATATATGCATCTAATAATGAAGCAATAGACTTAAACCAGTAGCTTGAATTTATTGTTTGGATCATTAGATTTCATTTTCTAATTAAAGATGATCTTAACTTCCATTGAAAATGGGAACTAGATGATAAACAGGAGCAACTGTAAGACATTCAGTCAGGAATAGAGCATAACAGTGCTCATCACCCTCTAACCTCTTGCCTGTTTCCATTAGTCCCCAAGCATGTTTAAAAACAATATAAAAGGCACAAACTAAGCATGTGGAATAAATAAATATAGCTATGGCTATAGTAATCAGAAAGGTGCAGAGTTTCAGAAAGGGTAGGAAAGTAGGGACTATAAGTGTGAAGTATGTAAAATAGATAGGGGTTTGTCTGATAAAGTTTATGTGGCTCAAATTTGCATCTCATAACTAGGATCTTGGAAGTGAATAGAGGCAATGTGCACATATTTCATGTTTCACGATTTTCAGATAACTAGGCTACTTTCTGGATGGTACTGGTATGGTATCCGAGAAGGGTCCCAGCAGCAAAAGAAACTGCTCCATTTTGTGGAAATAGTCCTGAGAACATTAACATACCCGTGGGTTAGTTTTTCTTTTGTTATTGTATTACATTAACACTTTTTTTTTTAATAGCCAGAGTTTTATTCTTGATACTTTGGTCAAATGACATAATTTCTTGCCTAAAGCTTTTGATACCAGCTAAACAGGAGCAAGTTTTCAAATTTGTTTATTGTGGTAGCTTAAAATTTTTTAGATGATTCCTAACTTTGGAATGATCTTTGTAAATTATTATGGTACATAATGTAAATGGATTACTTATATCTGAAAGAGGCCTAAACAGGATTAGACTAGACACTTTGCTGTGGGATTTCACTCCAAATACCTTTGGGGATGTGTAAGTTTAACATCACTGCAGTGTCTGGTCTCCACTCAAATACAGGAAGTAAGATGTCATATCCCTTGTGTAAATCTTTGCCATGTATTAGTAACATGCCTGTCAACCAGTGAAACCAATGAAGATTTAAGGACTGAGTTTCTCTAAACTCTCCCATTATTCCACTAAGGCATATTAAAAGTTACTGGGAAAACAGACATCACAGATTTCTCCACAAGTCCATATACTTAAGCTTCCTTTTAATTCAAAATAGATATTTTAGGGTTACTAACAATCTTCAGAAGATTTTGTGTCCTGTTGTGATGGTTTGCCATGCCACTGATTGAAATATATTTTTCTCCCAGGGATAATAAAGATATTCTGGCAATACATTATCATCAGTCCTTAAACAACAGTAATCATTTTAGGGCTTACCCTAAAATTACTCATCACTTGTAATTTGAAAGATTCCCATTCAAGTACCCTTCACATAGATTTTTATGTACTGTCTTATTGAGTATAGTTGTCACTGTTTTCACTTGCTGATGCATCTTCTCCCTTGCACCATTGGTATAGACGATAATGTTAAAAGAATTTCATTGAATGTTAAAGTATTACAAAAGGCAGCTTGCTTTTTTAATCTATGCATCTTTGGGATTTTAGAAAAGATTTTATTCTTTGATGTAAAAAGGAACTGCTTTAAGAGTTGGAAACTCTGCACCTGTGTATATGTATATTTTGGCAATAAAGCAGCATGGGCTGAGAATGCACTGAAATTTCACTGTGTTATTTGGAATGGGTCATCTCTAATGATGCCACAAATTATGGAGATGGGAAGAGGAACCTATACACAAACGTGTGCTGAGGTCCAGGCTCCAGCTACCTGAGTTGTGGTTCCCAGTGTCCAGAGGAACGGACAACCATCTGAAAAAAAGAGGCATCCCATTTATTTATTTTCAAATTGTAAGAGAATGTTTATTTAGAAAGTTACAGAGGTAGAAGTGAGCCATCTGGGCTGCATAGGTCAGGAAATAAGTCACAGAGGCAAAAGAAAGGTCTTGAGAGCTTAAGTAGAAGGCAAGGAAGGGAAAGGTGGGGGCACGCTCCCCAAAGGGACAGAGCACCTAAAGGCATCCCATTCAAACTTGCTCCATTCCCTTCTTTGGGGTGAGCCTTAATGGTAGGTCTGTGAGCAAATGTTTCTGCTGAGGAAATAGTGATCTAAGTACAGCAATGACACAACCACTGCAGGAAATCTTTCCTACCTGAAATATATAAAGCATTTAAGACCTTTTAATATTTAAATGTTGGCTAAGTTAACTAGAGGTTTTAACACTATAAGAAGAGATCCTTCTTGATTCAGGTGAAAGGAGTTTTTTCAAGTAAAAAATCAGACCTTACAAATTTCTTCTTTGGAATTGAATATTGTAAATGTAGAGGAACAAAAGCTGTGTGGTTTTTTATGGTGTGACTAATTTAATAGTGCTGTTGATTTATGAGACTATTCATTTAATGTACAGTTATTGATACATTTCATTCCCAAGCACTCTGCTAGATCTTGGGCTTACAATAATGAAGATGGTTTCTGCTGTTAATTAAGGAGCTTTTGGGTTTAACACTCAGGGACCTTCAGTATGCAAGTTTATTCTTACAGTTACATGGAATTTTGAAACTACTTTTATTCAACATACAGATGATGATACATGGTATCAAACTTTAGTAAAGGAGCCTTAGACTCTGTTAATGTCAGCCACTCTGTCATCGATGTTTGTTAGACTCTGAGAGGAGCTCTTAGACACTACGTAAAGCACATTTAAAAAGTCAGCCACTTGTGAGAATATCAATTAGTATAACATTTATGGAAAGTGTAATATCAAAACTGTAAATGCACATGTCCTTTGACTCTACTACATTAAAAGTCACTCTTACAGAAATATCAGTACAGATATGCAGATATATACATGGATCAAATATAAGAATGGTTAAATTCTGATATATTTGTATTATTGAATTAATGTTAAAAGCAAGTGAAATAATTTGTGTATAGGCTGCTATAGAAAGTTGTCCATGACATTTATTGTGTGAAAAGCAGGTTGCAGAATAATATTAAAGATATAACTGCCTTTATGCCTGTATGTGTATATCCACACACATGAAGGTTATAAAAGCTAGTTTATTGAGCACTTACTATACTAAGCATTGCTCTGATTTGTTGGGGAGCTTTTTCCAGCACAGCCTGCCTGGCAGTTGCAGATAAGAATAAGTCGACCAAGCTTCCGACCAAGATGGAGGCGTGTGTACACATACTGTGCCTCCTCGCACAACCAAAATAAAGACAATTTAAAAACAAAAAACAACCACTACTGATAGAAAATTGAACTGTATGGAAGGCCATCAATCAAGGAGTTAAAGTAGACACATTCATCCAGACCGGTAGGAAGGACGGAGTTGGGCAGCCAGGGAGGGCTTAGGGCAAAGCGGTGGCTGACGGACTCTGGGAGTGCAAGGCAGCAGTGGGCAGACCCAGCCATGCAGTGGATTATGGGGAGGCATGGTGCACAAGGCTGCTGGCTGACCCAGCGGTCCCACATTCTCACACAGATAAACCAGGCAAATATGGGGAGCAAGACACCTTGCAACCCAGGGCTCTACCACAGGGAAGTAAAGCCTCAAACCACTAATTGAGAACACCGGTGGGGGTTGAAGTGCGGGGAGAAACTTCCACCTTCACAGGAGAGTTCGTTGGAGATACCCAACAGGGTTCTAGATGTACATAAACCCACCCACCTGGGAATCAGCAGCAGAAGGGCCAAGTTTGCTTGTGGGAAGTAGGGGAAGTGACTGAAATCAAGCAGAGAGCAGAGTAAGCACCATTGTTCCCTCTCAGACCCCTCCCCCAAATACAGTATCATAACCCAGCGATGTCGGTTGCCCCATCCTGGTGAACACCCAAAGCTCTGCCCCTCACTACGTAATAGGCATGCTGAGACAAAAAAATTGGTCCAAATGAAAGAACAGATCAAAGCCCCAGAAAAAATACAACTAAGTGATGAAATAGCTAAACCTATCAGATGCACAATTCAAAGCACTGGTGATCAGGATGCTCACAGAATTGTTTGAATTTGGTCCCAAATTAGATGAAAAAATGAAGGCTACACTAAGTGAAATAAAATGTACAGGGAACCAATAGTGATGGGAAGGAAACTGTGACTCAAATCAATGGAGTGGACCAGAAGGAAGAAAGAAACATTCAACCAGAAAAGAATGAAGAAACAAGAATTCAAAAAAAATGAGAGGCTTAGGAACTTCCAGGACATCTTTAAATATTCCAGCATCTGAATTATAGGGGTACCAGAAGGAGAAGAGGAAGAGCAACAAGTGGAAAACTTATTTGAACAAATAATGAAGGAAACTTCTCCAATCTGTCAAAGGAAATAGACTTCTGGGAAGTCCAGGAAGTTCAGAGTCCCACAGAAGTTGGACCCAAGAAGCACACACCAAGGCACATCATTATTACATTACCCAAGATTAAAAATAAGGAAAGAATCTTAAAAGCAGCAAGACAAAAGGAGAGTGTTACCTGCAAAGGAGTGCCCGTAAAACTGTCAGCTGATTTCTCAAAAGAGAACTTACAGGCAAGAAGGGGCTGGAAAGAAGTATTCCAAGTCATGGAAAACAAGGACCTACATCCAAGATTGTTCTATCCAGCAAAGCTTTCATTTAGAATGGAAGGGCAGATAAAGTGCTTCTCAGATAAGGCCAAGTTAAAGGAGTTCATCATCACCAAGCCCTTATTATCTGAAATTTTAGAGGGCCTTATCTAAGAAAAGATAAAAAACGTGTACAGTAAAATGACAGCAAACTCACAATTATTAACAACCACACCTAAAACAAAAACAAAATAAGCAATAACTAGAACAGGAACAGAACCACAGAAACAGAAATCACATGGAGGGTTAGCAACAGGGGAGTGGGAGGAGGAGAGAGGGGGAAAAGGTACAGAGAATAAGTAGCATAGATTGTAGGTTGAAAATAGGAGGAGGGTAAGAATAATGGGAAATGTAGAAGCTAAAGAACTTACAAGTATGACACATGGTCATCAACTAAAGGGGGGGAATGTGGGTGGGAAAGGGTGTGCAGGATGGAGGGGAGTGATGGGGGTAATGGGGCAACTGTAATAGCATAATCGATAAAACATATTTTAAAAAAAAATAAGTCTACCAAGACATGATCTGCTGGCAGAGGAAAGGTGGCCAGTCTCTCAGAGGAGAAGGGCCAGGAGCCTGTTCTTCAAGGGGCTTTTATTGGGTGGAATTTGCACAGGTGTACAGGTAAAGCTCATTAATCATTGTCAGGCAGTAATGATCAAACAATAGATAACATACAAAAAACTATGAGGGCTTATTCTGAGCCAGGGTCAGCTGGTCAAAGGGCCATAAAACTTTGGGAAACAAACTCATTTTATACTTGAACCCTTACCAGAAAATTGAGGGCATTCTTAGCAAAGCAGATTTCAGAGGAATTTATGCATTCTTTCTTAGGCCTGATCACCCCAGGGCTGCACTGCCCACCAGCACTGTTTCAGGCTTAAGTCAGGCAGGGGAAGTAAGGCAGCCAAGAGATTAGACTTATAGAATGAGGACTTAGGCTATGTCAAAGCTGAGGGGTGAGGGTCCATCACCCTCTTTTGCTATAGCCCCCTAAGTCCTTCCCTGAGGGCCCCTTCATGCCCATGCCTGTCTTAGGTCATCCTTCCCTTAAGGTATCTTACCTGTCACTGGCTAACCAGTCATCTGCCTGAGGCCAAGCAGGGTGAAGTAAAGGGAGCAGAGGAACCACCCCTGACAGAAAGATAAGCTGTCTTCTTAGTGGTTTATGGTCCCAAGGTCCATTACTCAGCCTTAGCCGTGGTGGGGGGGCGGCAGAAGATTACAGCTTCTGAAACCAGGCACTTGGCAGTTCCCAACACTGAATGTCTTAGGTGTACTCATTAACTTGTTTTAAATCCTCACGATATCCCTAGTTTTTAATCCCTATTTTACAAGATTGGCTTCAGTCAATTCTTCAAATTCATAGCTATTAAGTATCTAGGGCACAATGTGAAACCAAATCGTTTGGCTCCAGAGTTTGTCCACTTCTCAGCATGCTATCTTATGCCCCTTGAAAATGGAAAGGTAAAGTGTACAGGCTTAACTTTGTCACATACCTATATCTGCATGTTTTTCTAAGTGAGCATATAATTTGTATTTGGAAAAAAAATCTTTTTAAAACCAGCCAGCCAGCTTAATTTGATGTCAGGTTCAAGCATTTTATTTTCTATTGAAAATCCACCAAATGGCAGATCCAGAAGGTAAAGAAAATAGCTACATAAGAGCAGCTTAAAAAAAAAAGATTTTATTTATTTTTAGACAGAGAGGGAGAAAAACATCAATGTGGGGTTGCCTCTCACATGCCCGCTACTGGAGACCTGGCCTGCAACCCAGGCATGTGCCCTGACTGGGAATTGAACCTGCAACCCTCTGGTTCACAGGCCAGTGATCTGGTTCACTGAGCCACGCCAGCCAGGGCCCAGCTTTTTAATTGAGATCAAGGAAATATATCAAGGCAGACAGACCGACATACAATAAAAAAACTCAGATGATTCAATATAGTACTAATTTTCTGGACTGTTCCCAGAAGCTTCACACCCTTGCTTACAAAGCCAAATTTTGCAATTTAGAAGCATAAAGCAAATTAGAATTTTCAACAACTTAAAATATTTTAAAGGGAAGTATCCTTTATGCAGTATAAAATGGAAAGAATCTGCTTTAAAGAAAAAACCTAGCTACATCTGAACCAAGTTAACTTCTCTAAGTACCACCTCTTGGTCCCGTCTGTTGACTGTGCCAGTGTGAGCCCCTCCCACCCATTCTCCACAGAACAGCCATCACCAGGTTCTGAGAATCAGATCCTGCCATAGGCCTCCTTTGAAAATTCTTCAAGGATTTCTCATTATTTTTGGAATTAAAACAAACATCCTTCCAGAGTCTAGGAGGACCTTGCACCTTCTGGTCTCTGGTTACCAGAACTCCTGAAGGCCTTCTTTCAAGGGCCTTACAGGGCCTTTGAATTGGTTGTTCCCCCACCTCGTTAACCCCCAGTTGCCTTTCAGACCACCACTGAAACTTCACTTGATCCCCAAGGCCAGTTCAGTTACCTGTTACATGTGCTTGTAATTCTATGTCCCTTTTCTTCGAACCCTTACTACAGCTGCTGAGCCCAAGTGCTATTGTACAGCAAAATACGAAAAAGCCCCAGAGCATTTCAGTTAATGTTGATGTTTTATTATTCATTACCTTAAGCTTAGTTTCCAACTGAAAAGAAAAAACTGCATATTGTCCAACTTATTGAATATTACCTATAGAATATGTATGTACCTGTATTTTCCATTCAAAAAAAGACTGTCAGTATTCATATAACTGCTCCACGTAGGAATCACAGTAGTGGACATTAAGTACAACTTTATTTTCACAAGCATCTTTAGATCAGAGCACGGCACACTGCCTCTTAATCCCTAAATGTGCAATTAAAGATGTTTTCAGAAATAATTGTGAAACTATTAAGAAAGCTAAAATAATTTCTGAAGGCAAATAGCTATGAAACCTAGACAGAAGTCTCCTTAGTTTCTCATCTTTGAGAAACAGCTTCACAAATCAGTTAGAAAATCAGCATTGAGATAAACATAATAAACCATATTTGCTGTCCATTCTTGAAGTCAGTCTTTCTCAAGAAGTTATCAAACAGCACCTGTTTTTGAAGATAGCAGTAAGGCCTGACCCTGGTACTCAAGCTCTGGTTCTGGATCAGTTTTCTGGCTTGGACTGGTCAGGAGCCACTTCCTTCAACATCCCCATCAGTGAATTTAAGTGACTATGCATTAACATTATCTTCTCTTTCAGCTAGGAAGAGAAATATATACATATCAGGGCATCATAAACTTATCTCTCAATTTGCTGATTCTAGAAGTCACTTCAAATTCAAGCTAGTTATTGGGAGCTGGCAGTGTCTCAACACAATTATTAATATATTTGTTCTATTTCTGAAAGAAATGTATATAAATATAACAGTACAATAAGATCCTCAGATATAAAGTTTCTCATGAAAAAAGACCATTTATTGCTGCTGAACATCACTGCTTCTGTTTCCTTCTTGCCTAACCCTATCATCAGGCTGAAACTCCAAAAACTAAGACAAGAATAAAATAAGAGAACTTGTGGAGACAGAAGCATCAACTAGTCTTCCTCTCCTTTTCTCGTGGCAAGAGTATATCTTTTTTCTAACTCTGTTCACAGTAAAAAAAAATTACTTTCTTTAATATTCTGCTAATGGTCAAAAGTAGCTCTGCTTCCCAGGTTTAGAAGAGATGTTTATTGCAATTCAATAATTTTCAATAGTTCTTTCACCTTAAAGTAGCTGTATTTAGAACCCAACTTCACAGTGTACTCAGCACGCAGTATGTACTTACTCATAAGTTAACTTATAAATTTATCACGGAATACAGAATAATGCATAACAGTCTTCTGCTGAACTCAGGGTTAACAAAAAAAATCTTATTTCCTGTTAATCTTATTGAGGTGCTCTTTGATGGGATAGGATCTTTTTTTTTATTTTTATTTTTTGCTGCTTTCAAGATTATTTTCTGTTTATATTCAATATTTTTACTAGGATGTGCTGGGGTACAGATCTCTGAATTTATCCTACCTGAGCTTGCTGAGGTTACAAATATGTAGATTAATGTTTCCCATCAATTTGAAAAGTTTTCAACCATTGTTTCCTTGAATATTTTTTCTACTGCTTTCTCTCTCTCCTCTCCAATTGTACCCCCATTACCAAAGCATATTTATGTGTGCTTGATATGTCCAGCAGGTCTCTTAGGTTCATTCAGTTCATTTTTCTTCATTATTTCTCTCCTCTTCAGATTGCATGAGATCATCAATCTGTATCTCCATGTTAGCTGATTCTTTCTTTGACCAGTTCCACTGAGCCCTGGAGTGAAATCTTTCATTTCAGCTATTGTACTTTTCAACTCATGGGATTTTCATCATGTTCTTTTTTATAATTTCTCTCGCTTTAGGAATATTCTCTATTCTTTTTTTTTTTTTAATCCTCACCTGAGGATATATTTATTGATTTTAGATAAAGAGAGGAAGGGATGGATGGAGAGAGGGCGAGACAGAAAAGAGAGAGAGAAACGTCAATCGGTTGCCTCTCATACACATCCCAACTGGGAACTGAACCTGCAACCCTCTGGTGTACAGGACAACTCTTTAACCAAGCCACCCAGCCAGGGCAGGGATATTCTCTATTTGATGAGACATGGTCACCTTACATTTTCTTAAAAAAAAAAAAAAAAAATCAGTACAGAGGTCTTTTCTTTTTTCACGCTTATCTTGCCACGAATTCCTAGGGAACGGGCTCCAGCAGCTCCAGCAGCTCCAGCTCCTTCCCATTGGTTCTCACACAGTGCGCTTCTCTGGGCGGAGCAGGCTGACGCCTCAGCTGAACCCAGGCGCCTTTCTCTTTGGCGTCCTTCTTCTTCTGATCATTTTCCTTCACGTGTTTCATCTTGGCTCTTGAAGGGCTTTATATGCTCAATATGTGCATTAACTCTCTTGGCAAGAATCATGCCCTTGTTTGTTTACAGCAATGCCCACTGCATGCTGGGTGACTACGTAGACTCTTCCAGTTTTGCCGTGGGAACCTCTGTGGGGCATTCCTTTTGAACACTGCCCATTCCCTTGATGCCTACAATATCACCTTTCTTGTCGATTCGCATGTTTGTGGCCAAAGGAGCAACACCCTGTTTTCTAAAAGGCCTCTCCTCTTTCCATTTGTGTCAGTCATTTTGGCGAATTACTGGAAAATGGCAGTTCCGGCAGAAAAAGCTCCTTTACTTCTTTAAGCATGGTTCTCTTTCGGTTTTTTTTACCGATTTATAACAGCTGCTTTGAAGGCTTTTCCTTCTAAATCCAATATTTGGGCCCTTTAAAAGGTAGTTTCTGATGCCTGCTTTTTATTTGTGTATGGGTCATACTTTGTGTCTCCTAATTTTTACCACAATTTTTTAAACTTGGTTTGACATACCTTATTGAATTTGTGACACAAAGCAAAATATTAAAGACTGAGTTCTTACTGATTCCTTGCTAAATGTGTAACTAGCAAGGAATAAACTATTAACACTCCTAAAAACAAAATGAACAATAAATTCTTCTGAGGGTAGTAAAATTATAGCCAAATTTCCACTCAGAGTAGACAAGCTACCAAAGTTGCTTTTTTAACTCAAAACCATCAACCACTAGTAAAAACCACTTAAATAAGAATTCTTAATGATCATTTTACCACCCTTTCCTCTAAGACATCTAAGCATATGTCGTGTGCAAAGAGGGCAGATCTGTGTATGATGACAGTGTCCACTCCCAGCACAGGACGGAGAGTGCAGGAATGCAGGGGCAGAGTGGCTCTCCAGCCTCTCCTGAACTAGACCTTTCAATAGGACTGCAATACTTTGCTGTGTCATAAATTCAATAAGGTATGTCAAACCAAGTATAAAGAACTGCTGGGGGAAGGAAAAAAAAGAATAGTGCGAGTATCACATCACTTCATTGCCCCCAAGTTTATTAGTACAAATTATCAGCAGTTGTCTAGATTAAAGGAAACATACAAGAATTATGAAATTTTACCTCTGCAACCTTTTCTGGTAAAGGCATGTTGTGAATATACACTTCAGATGCACTTATGATGGCTTTTGTTTCTAAGAGGTAGCTAGGTAGAAAATAGAGAAAGTATTAGTACCATACTACAATTAAGATTATAAATGAACCAAACTTGCCCTTTCAGGCAATATCTGTCGAGTAAAGACTGCTTTCTTACTGATTTCCACTTCAAGATTCATAATGTATCGTGTAGGAAAAACAAATCCTCAAGTAACAAGCCATCAGGGAATCTAAGTTTCTCATCCCAGCCCTTGCCAGCCAGGAATACAAGAGACAAAATTATCCCAGGAAGAACTAGACAAAAACCAGGGTCACATAAATAATCGTGAGGAATCTAAGCTTCCCACCTCTCAGTAGATACTGCAGCACAGTCAGAAAAAAAATAATCACATGACAACTGTTGGTTGCCTACCCAGAAGCCATTCCTCAGTTCTTTGGTGTTAATGGAGCCCAGATTTTGCTTAGGGCAGCAGTGTCCTAGAGACGAACCATAGCTGTTCTAAGCCAACTGTGGCAATTTTGTTCCCTATTTCCACAGACTTGTTTACCCAGTGTAAGGCAATCATATGACACAGCTCTGGCCAATAATTATTTTGCTGATAAAAGAAGACCTTTCCCTATATTCCCATACTTCCCATATCCTTTTCCTTCCAGGTAGGGATGCTGCTGTCTATAGATAATTCCAGCCATCATCTTTCATCCAAGAGGAAAAGGCCAAGAAAACCAGAGATGTTGACCCAGAGCCCTGTCACAGCTGAGCCACTAGAAGACTCCTGGAGTGGCCAACCACCCCCCACCCTGACTTGTGGAAGCCACTGTGAGTCAGCTTTTCTGTGACTGGCAACCAAATTCATTTTGATATACACAGATATAGATTTATCATCTTCCCAGATTCATGCTACCTATACTTTCCCAATTTCTACTTAATCAAAAAGAATATATAGACCTTTGGGTCCAACTCACTTTAAAGATTAAGAAATTGCCCTGACCAGTGCATCTCAGCTAGTTAAGTGTCATTCTCCAAAGTGAAACATTGCCAGTTGATTCCCAGTCAGAGCACATGCCTAGGTTGTGGGTTTGATTCCCAGTGGGGGCACATAGGATAGGCAACTGATCAATGTCTCTCTCACACATCAATGTTTCTCTCCCTCTCTTTCTCCCTCCCTTCCCCTCTCTAAAACTTAATAAAATAAAACCTTAAAAATAAAAGAGTATCTAAGTCTACTCACCACACCATTTTATCACTGGAAAGACAGAAGTGTCCTCTCAAGGCAGCCAGGGCAGCATGGGTAGAATACAGATGGAAACCAATGGGAATCCCACAGGAACTACAGAATAAAAGGTTGTAAGTGCTGGGAGAAAAAAAAAAAAAACAAAACAGAACATGGGTAAGAAAGAAAATCAGAAACAAATAGAAAATAACCACTCTCTGGAAGCATTCCTAAAAACTATGCTATCATAGGACTGTCACATTCAAGAAGGGTTAACTCAAGTTTTAATATAATTACACCTTAGATGACGATGACAGATAACCTTGTGGACTGCAGCCACAAAAGAAGCCATGGAAAAAGGACTCATAGACTTGGACAACAATGTGGTGACTGCGGGAGGGAAGAAGGGTATGAGGGGACTAAATGGTAATGGGAAAAAATACATAATTTAAAAAAATCATGGATGCACAACTGTCACTTCAACAGAGAAAAGTAATTTATGTCTGAAAAGCAGAAAAAGAGCTAACTAATCAGATTAACATTTAAACATATAAAACGACACATGACCATTTAAATTAGCTACCAATGAGCAATCAAGTTGACTAGGCCTTACTAAACAATTTATTAATAGCATTCAAACCAGGATTTTTATTTTGCAGATGAAACAAAAAACTTTTAAAAAGAAAAGGAATCCTATTACTCTAGCAAGCCATCAATTTTCTTTTCCTTCATCCTCTGAAACATTACTGGATGAAGAATCGAGAAATGTTGATTTTAGTGTGAGTTAATACCACTTGGGTAAGTCACTTACTTACCATATTTGCTGGCATACACGAACATTCAAACATTACAAAGAAATGTTTTAGGAAAAATAAAACATGTTACCTTCTGCATGTACTAAAAGCAATTTTTTTTTACTTTTATTTTTGAAAGCAATTTTAAAGTGTCTTGGTAAGAGAAGAAACTTGTACGCAGTAAAATGGAGTTCAAAAATCACATGGCTAAAAATAAAGATTCACGTCAATGGATATTTAAAAACCCAAGCAACAAAATACACTAAATTTATTGGTAAATGAAGTCCTATACCACAAGTGTTGTACTGCATTTTTTGTGACGATGGCAACCACAAAGCCAGCCATAAAATAAAGTTGCATTAATTTGAATTAAATTCTATGTAGGAATTGATTACATCAGACAAAGCATATAACTATAGACCTTCCAACATTTTTCAACTCATAGCACACATAAACTAATTACTAAAATTTTGTGGCACACCAAAAATATATTTTTTGCCAATCTGTGAAAATAATAGGTATAATGTTGGCTCTTGTTGTGTTGACTGTGGTCATTTTTATTTCATTGAATAGTAGTCTGCTAATGGCTCAGGTCCTTCACAAAGGTTTGTACCCCCACACCAGGTAAAGAACTACGCCCAGCGGAGCCGGAGCACGTGCTGAAGGCAGCAGGAATGCACAATGGGCAGCAGAAGGTAGTTACAAACAGCAGCTATGAGCATGTGACCAGTTATAGAAAAGAGAGCTGTAACTGTCATGAATATTTCTACTGTCTTTTGTTATGAATGTCTGTGCGTATGTTTTCTTCCCTTTCTTATTCCCTTATCATGTAACAGTAGGTACATTGTCTATAACATTACTGTTAAATTTGTACCATAGTATTTAAGTTATGAGAAAGGAGAAAAGTAAACATCAGTTACAGACTTTATCCCCTTTTCTGGAGAAAGGGTTGGTTCATTTTTGGTTGTATGTAAAATAGTTGCACCATGTTACACAATTATGATCTTGTTATTGTCTTTACTTGAAGATTAAATATGGTTTTAACAGATACGTGTGGATGTCAAGTTAACAAGTGATAGTTAAATTTTGTATGTCAACTTAAGTGAGCCACAGTGTGCCTTGTTATTTTGTCAAACATCATCATGAATGTGTTTGTGAGGGTGCTTTTGAAAGAGATTACCATTTCAATCAGTAGACTGAGTAAAGCAGATTGTGAGGACTAAGGTGGGTGGCCCTCATCTTACCAGTGCTGGACTAGAACAAAAGACTGACTCTCTCAAAAGTAAGAGGGAACTCTTGCCTGACTGCTTTGAACTCTAGCATTGGTCTTTCATCCTGCCTTTGGACTTGAACTGAAATGTAGGCTCCTCTTGGCTCTAGAGCCTGCTGGCTTTTGGACTAGAACTTATCCCTTTGGCTCTCCTGGTTCTCAGGCCTGTGAACTTGGACTGGAGTTAAACCAATGGCTCTCTGGTGTATCCAGCTTGCTAACTACAGCTCTTGGGGCTTCTCATCCTCCGTAACTGCATGAACAAATTCCTGATAATCAATCTCTTCCTGCCAAGTCCCACCGCTCCCATTATTCCAAAAATACCCAAATACATGGTTCTTTCCCTCTAGTGTTTTATAAACCATCTAGATCAGTACTGTTCAACAGAAATATATGAGCCACATTAAGTAATTTAAAATTCTGTCAGTTAAAAAAAATTTAAGCAGGTGAAATTAGTTTTAATATATTTTATGCTACCCAATATATCAAAAATATAATTTCAACATGTAATCATTATTTCTAAATATTAACTTTTTGGTACCAAGTGTTCAAAATCCAGTATGTATTTTGTACTCACAACATATCTCAAGTCAGAATGGCCACAATGCTCAATAGCTAGATGTGGCTAGTGGTTACAGCACTGAACAGCATGGGTCTAGGTGCATTATCCTCCTTCTAAGGTGATATTCAGAGAGCTTCTGCCTCTGGCCCCATATGGTCCAATTCCAAGTTGGCCACCTCTCCTTCCCTCTGTTCTCTTTGGGTGGGAAGAGGACACTCCAGTAAGGCTAGGGTCATTCAGATGGGAAAGAGGAGCAACAGAACTCTTCCTGGTTAGTAACTAAAGCAATAAGAATTCCTACACTTTAACCCTAAAACTGAACAGCAAGAATTAACTATCTTTAACAGCAAGAATTAACTATCTTGCTGTTAAAGCCAACACTCAAAATTGAGGAGCCTTATCATAAAAAATTCACTGAGTACTTTGTTGTCACTTGTAAATCATAGTACAGGCAAGATGCAAAGTTTACTAGGCAATACAGTAGTACCCCTTATCCTCAGTGGAAACTTAAAAAGAAATTGTATTTATTTTTAGAGAGGGGAAAGGAGAATGAAAGAGAAGGAGAGAAACATCAATATGTGAGAAAAACATTGATTGGTTGCCTCTTCACGCCCCCAACAGGGGACCTGGCCCACAACCCAGGCACATGCTTGGACCAAAAACCAACATGGTGACCTTTGGGTCCAGAGGCTGGTGCTCAATCCACTGAGCCACACCAGTCATATTCTAAGACTCCCAAGGAATGCTGAAACCATAGATAATACTAAACTATATCTATCTATCTATCTATATATAGATAGATATAGATATATAGATATATAGATATATATATCTCCTCACCAAGGATATATTTATTGATTTATTTTAGAGAGAGAAGGGAGAGAGGGGGTTGGGGAGAGAGAAACATGCATTGGTTGTCCACTGTACACGCCCCAACCGGGGATGGACCTGCAACACAGGCATGTGCCTGGACCAGAAACTGGAACAGCACCCTTTCTTGGGTGCACAGAACAACGCTCCACCTAACTGAGCCAGGCAACTAGCATTGAACCCTATTTATACTGTGTGTTTTCCTACATACACACACACGTTATAGTTTCTCTTCTGCATATTTGAATAGCTGGCATTACTATTCTTTCACTTTGGGACCATTCTTAAGTAAAGGATTACTTGAACACAAACACAGGCACTGTAACAATTACTCTGATAATCAAGCCAGCTAGTAAACAACTAACCATCAGGTAGTATATACAGCATACATACATTGGACAAAAAGCAACACACTTAAGATTTCATCACACTATTCAGCATGATGCACAATTTAAAACTTATGAATTGCTTATTTCTGAAATTTTCCATTTAATATTTTCAGACTGTGGTTGAGCCTGGGTACCTGGAACCATGGAAAGTAAAACCATGGGTATCAGGGAGTGATCACTGTATTCAAGCACATTACCTTCAGCTGTGTTTGTCCCCCAGTTTTCTGGGTTACAGCAGAATTAGTCCTGCCATTGCTTATTACAAACTCCAGGTTAAATGTAAACTTAAAAGTCCTAGTTACCTCAAAGGGTATGGTTTCTAATAAGTTATTCTCACTATATACCAAAAGATAATTTTCTCCTTTTCCCTTTACTACAACAGCATTTTCAACTCGTGTGCAGCAAGAGTTTTTGAAATAAGCAATATATAACTATTTAGTCTGGAGCACTGACCTCTTTTCCCTTAGATTGTCAAATGAAGAATGACAACAGCCAACACAACAACAGCCAAAATTATACCTATTTTTCGTCAGATTGGCAAAATATATGTATTTTTGGTGTACCACAGAATTTTACTAATTAGTTTGTGTGTGCCATGAGATGAAATAGGTTGAAAATCACTGCTCTACTAGATACAGCTTTCTTAGCCTCACTTTATTTGCACCAGCCACTAGGGATATGTAGCCCTCAGAAAGATCTTTTTTGTATAAAGAAAATTTTATTTACTTTTAGAGGGAAGGGAGGGAGAAAGAGTGAGAGAGACAGCAACATGTAAGAGGTACATGGATTGGTTGCCTCTCCTACACCCCCAACTGGGGACCTGCCCCTGCCCTCCAACCCAGGCTTGTGCCCTGACTGGGAATTGAACCAGCGACCTTTCAGTTCAGAAGCTAGCAGCCAATCTACTGAGCCACACCAGCCAGGGCCAGAAAGATCTTAAAATCTACACAAATACAACTTTTCCATTCATTAATGCATGAAGTTTGTAGAAGCCTGAAACAGGTAAAAGGAGTATATACTTCCAATGCATTGTATGAATGGAATAAACTTTTCTTCCAGCGCACAATTGAAACAAACTGTTTTCTCCTTGTGCAGGTCCATTCTACGTTCTTCAATATCAAGTCAGGGACTAGAGTCGGATCTGGAACTCAGCGCGTACCTGCCTTTTAGTAAACCTTCAATGCCAACTAGGAAGGGCTCTTCCAAAATCACGTTATTTGTAACCCCTAGGAAGAAAGAAAAGCGGGTCAGAATGCGTAGCTGGGGGACCTCGTAAGGGAAAACTACCCCTTCCAGATAGGCTCATCATGTCCACAAAACTTGGTCCCAACCCTGGCAATGGGTTAATTTCCAAATCTTAATCCCGTTTTCTAGCCCAGCAGACATTCGGCCACCCCGAGAGAAACCCGGAACACCCTCTGGGGACCCTCCTTCACCTTCCCCAAACACCGCCCCCACTCACTGGAGAAGACAATGGCCCCGAGGGACCGCGAGAGGTCCCAAGCGAGGTGCACCGAGTCAGCGAGCACAGCGTGGCATTGCGCGCACTGGAACACGATGCACCTCTTGGGCTGCAGCCAGGACGGCAGCCGCGGGCCTAATGACGGCTCCTCCGTCCCCATTCCTGAGGGGCCAAGCGGCGAGGACCCCTTCACCACCTGTGTGTCCCATTCCATGGAAGTCGTAAAAGAAGTTTCGTCAACTGTCTTAGTGCCATCACAAAAGTCACCCTCCCGGGGCTTTGCGTAGCAAGAGAATTGCCACCGCGAAGGAGCCGCCATTTTCTCGCAACCACCGCCTAGATTTTGAACACGCACAAGGCCCCGCCCCAAACCCGACTCCTGCCTTTTCATTGGACAACTTGAGCCGCGGCCTGGAGCACAGTCAGTACCTGGACACGCCCTTCGGAGCCTAAGCTTGAGTGAGGGGTTGGGTAGAATTTGCGTTTGGTAAGAGAAGTCAGCTTTTCTATTGGCCCACGCTAGGAAACCCCGCCTTCAACATTGTTAACCAATGGAAGTGCAGCGTTCTTAATTTAAACTGTCTATAGACCTTAGCTTGGTCAACGCTTACAGTGGCGCCACAGTTTTGAACGGTGCAGCTGAGGTGGAGGATACTCTGTGTGGTTGCCTGCGTTGCACATCGCGATGACCGTCCCCTCACTGGAGGAGCTGGACTCATTAAAGTACAGTGACCTGCAGAACCTGGCCAAGAGTCTGGGCCTCCGGGCTAACCTGAGGGTACGGAGCGGGTGGCTCAGGACGGTAGCGGGTGGGGTAGGCGGAGCAGCCTTTGGGAGTCGCGGTGGGAAGGGATCGAACTCGTCCCTGTGGGATTAGATTTGGTTCGTTAGTATTCCTCCAGCTGCAAAAGTTGGGCGGAAAGGGAGCCGTAGGCCTCGGCTTCAAAGAGGTTTGTTGTTTTGCTTTTACTCTGTGATACTTTCCAGGGCATCAATTGCGAATGCAGGCCCAGAAAGCTCAAGGAACGCTGGCTCTAATGCCGATTGTTAGGCAGCCGCGGAAATAACAGCCTTGGCTTTTGGAAAATTCAAAACAGTTACACTTATGTAAATTGTAATAGCGCTCAAAATCACTTGCTACTTTATTGGGGGAAATAGAAGAAAGGATGGTTTTTAGGGGGACCACCCCCGTGGACACATTTTTATAAATTCATCCTTGATCTGAAATGATCGTTCATTTGTTGATCGCTATTTGTGTTGGTGTCTCCAAACCAGTAAGGTCTTTGACTCCGAGGCTGCAAAATACTGCGGGGAAATGTGGGGATTCGGTTCGGGATTGGGTTTCTATACTAGATTCTAGTGGAGTTTTCCCACATAATGCTAATGTATACTCTGGAGATTTGTTCTTGTGGCTGTGATATTCACACTGAATGAATGCCTAAATTAGCCATCCCAAACGTTTTTAAGTGATTTAAATAAAATAATTAGTGTCCGTCTGTTGGGGCCAAATGATAAAGGAGTGTCATTGGAGATAATTCTGAGCTATGATCTTTCATTGTTCCTGAATATTTCATAAACAAAGCCTAATACCTTAGCTTAAATGCCTTAGGCTTTTTGCAATCTGGCTAAAATCTTTTATCCAAGACTGCATCGAAACTGGACTGGTTGCTGAACACTTGGTACCTTTGTCCTTATTTGTGCCTTTGCTAATTTTGACCTTTTGGCCTCAGATCCCCTTCTCCCTCTGCCTTCTTTATCTGCATGAATAATTTCCAGTTACTCTCCACAGTCTCCCTGAACTGACTCCACTCACTTGGTGCCCCATCCCCTCCTCTTCTTTCCCTTAGCCACAGGGCCACCAACCCAATAATCCCGGGACCCCCCTGTGCTTTTAAACAGTTTAATTTCAAGTGCTGTCTTTGAGCATTTGCAGGCTTCCACCTTGTACTCTGGTTATTTGTGTGTGTATGTTATCTTCTCTACTAAAATTTAAGTTCCTTGAACAGGGATTTCATCCTTCCAGCTTGGAAGTCTTTACAGAATTAATTGCAGTACATTTTATATAGGAGATGCTGAATAGTTAATCAAATTTGTCTGAGAAATGGTGCCTCTCAACAAATATTTGACACTACGAGTCAGATATTGTGTTCTAGGCAGGCAACGGGGTCTGTAGAGACAAGTATTGTGCTACTGCACCTCTCTGAAAACAGATAACCGACTACCCCAGATCGGGTGCTGTTCAGACTGTTATTTACACCTACTTTTTGGCAGTGCACCAGAAGGTATCAAGAGAGTTACAGTGGAGGCTTCCTACCTGAATTCAGAGCTCTGGCTAATAGTGACCGACCGCACTGAACTGGATCTCTGAAGAGTTCCAAACAGTCCCACCGATCATTGTCTCTCGAAGCACCTAATCTAGGGTAGTCAGTTATCTGTTTTCATAGAGGTGCAGCAGTACAGTATTTGTCACTACAGACCTCGTTGCCTGCCTAGCACACAATTTCTGGCATGTAGTATCAAATATTTGTTGAGAGGTATCATTTCTCAGACAAATTTGATCATACAAGGCTTTATTATAGTCAATTATAAAAAGACACCTTGGAGATGGAGAAAATTAAACTCGGACTAGGTATTAAATTATATTATGGTATTGTTAATTTTGTTGGGTATGATAATAGTATTGTGGTTATGTTTCTGTCTCTTTTTTTTTAAGTCCTTATCTCTTGGTAATACATACCAAGTGTTTTCAGGTGAAATGTTATACCTTGAATTTGCTATACAATACTTGAAGAAAAAAGAGGGGGTTAGAAGAACAGCAGAATGTTATAATTGTTGAAACATGGGGGTTCGTAACATGAGTCTCTATTTTTGTATGCATTTGAAATTTTCCATAATTGAAATGTTTTGAATTATGTACAGTTGGTACAGCCCAGGAACTCATTAAATTAGTTGCCATTTTTAATTCCAAGTACTTAGCAAAAAATGAATAAATTACTCTAAGAAATTATCAAGACTTGATATTTTAAAAAATGTTCTCATCCGCATGATAACACTCTAAATAAATTTAGATGAGAAAATATTAACTCTTGATTGAGATACTGTTATTAGTGGCAAAGCAAAAAGAAGGAGGCAGTTACCAATGTGTATTGTGTGGCCACTGGCCCTCTTTTCACTCAGGCCCTCCCTCTCCTTCCCGCTTGTTTAGATGACAAAGCCCGGCCTTGTTTCCACCCGCAACACTCCTCCCTCACCTGGCAAAACTCTAAGCCTGATTAAACTCAGCTTTGTGCTTAATCCTTGCCTATATCTAACCAGCTGATCCTGGCTGGGAAAAAAAAATCACTTAAGTTTGTTGTCTGAATTTAATTTCAATTTATGGGCATAAATTGTAAAAGTGCCATTTGATTCTCTCACATTTCTTGGTAGTCATTAACTTTCCCATTTTTAAGGACAATCGTTTCATATCTTCTCCCCTCAGATTGGCTCCCCTTCCTCACTTGATGCTTCTCAATGCCATGGAAAAATAGATGCAGTCAGCTGAGCATTACCTCATCTTTCCACCCCCAAAACACTGCAGGCAGCCTGCACCTGTCCCTGCCTGCTCTGCCTCCCTTCTGCTACTGTAAAAGGCTGTGCCTAAGGGCGGCCTTGCCATTTGTGCTGGGGATCCTGTTTCTTTCTCCACGCTACACTCTGCAATGCCTCTCTCCTGCATCAGTTTCTCCCACTCTGCTGCTCCTATCCATGATGCATACAATCAAACCTTTTTTTTTTATTTTTTCTCTTACAATTGACCGTTAATATCATGTTAGTTTAGTTTCAGGTGTACAGCATAGTGGTTAGACATTCATATAGCTTACAGATTTCACCATCTTTAAAAAAAATTAAAACTCTCCTGACCCCACATCCTTCATCTACTGCCCAATTTCTCTGTTCTTTTCCACTGAAATCGCTCCTATTAAAGCCATGTCCTGCATCTTACAAAGCTCATGGTCCATCTCTTTGATACTTCATTTTGTCCTGCCTTACTAGCACTTTTTTCTAGTCTCCTTTGCTAGTCTTCCTCTGCCAAGTCTCTAACCGTGGAGTGCCCCACAGTTCTCTCCTTGGCCTTTTCTATAACTGTGCTTTCTGCCTTAGTAACCTTATCCATTCTTCTAAGACTAATGACTCTGAAATCCACCATCTCCTGTGCAGACTCTTCCCTGAGCTGCTGACTCATATATTTAAGTGCATCTTAAACAGCTTGGTCAGTTCAAAACAATTAAGATCTCTTCCCAATCTCAGTAAATGATTCAGATCTACTTTAGATCACTCTCTTTCCTCCCATCACTGCTCACAACCATCCACCCTTGTCAGCTCTTCCTTAGAAGTAACTTGAAGTCTGACCTCTGCACCATCTCCAGTGCTACAACCTGGGCCGGGGCACCCTCCTCCCTTGGCCACTGCTTGGGCCTGTCTGATGCTCTCCTTGCCTCTACTTGTGCCTCACAACAGTGTCCTCTTGGTAGTGGAGAGCTATTTGGAACTTAGGACAAGTCATTTTCTTTCTGCCCGGTGCCCTCCAATGACTTTACTTACACCTAAAATAAAATCCAAACTCCTCCAAAAGTAATATGAGAAACTTGGCTTGATCCTGATTTGAAGGGAAATTTTTAAAAAGAAAACAGCTAACATTGGAGACGGTCAAGGAAATCTGATTGTGGGCTATGTATCAGAGGACATTAGGAAATCATTACCTTTCCTAGGTATAGTAATTCATTCAAGGTTATGTAGGAAAATCCTATTTTTAGCAGGCGTGGCTGATGTATTTAGTGGTAAAGTATCATGTCTGGAACTTGCACATAGCATGGTAAGAAGCATATTAATACAGAGAGAAAGCAAACATGAGACAATATTAACAAGTATTAAATTTAGGTGGGGAGTATAAGAGTATTTACCAAACTATTTTGACTTCTCTATAGATTTATATTTTGTAATAGCAAGTTAAGAGGAAGAAATCCCCATGGCTAGCTGTGGCCCGGAGCCGTCTCCTGCCCAGCCTCCGGTCGCCTCCCTGGCCCCCTGCCCTCCACCTGCCCAGGTGTTCACCATGTGGCTCCCTTCTGTCCTTCACGTTCACCAACCATCCCAGGGCCTCTGGGCATGGTGTCCCCTGCTTGGAATGCTCCTCCCTCCCATCTTCACCTGCTGCATTGTCTTCTGACTCACATCTCACCTCAAAAGTCACACCTCTGAGAGGCCTTTCCTACCATCCTAACTCGGGTAGCGCCCCCCATCTAGTTACCAGCATTGCTTTCTGTTTCATAGGACCCAGTGCCATGTTTGCTTCAGCTTACTTGGTTACTAGGCAGTTCACCTACCGTTCCGCTGCTCGG